TCGGCGCAAGAGGAGACGCAGCGCACAGGGAGGATGGCAAGAAGCCGGAGCATCGACAGGGCCGAGAGGCAGACGATTACGCGAGAGCGACTCGATCGTCGGGCACTTTGACAGGGACAGGAGGTCGACAAAGAGAGAGAGAGAGAGAGAGAGAGAGAGAGAGAGAGAGAGAGAGAGAGAGAGAGAGAGAGAGAGAGAGAGAGAGAGAGAGAGAGAGAGAGAGAGAGAGAGAGAGAGAGAGAGAGAGAGAGAGAGGAGGAGGACTTGGGCGAGGCGTCCGTTTCGACTTTCAGTTGCGTGCACGTCCGGTGGCTGCAGCGAGCGAGGGGGATTGGCTCGTTTTCACAGCCCGTTAACTTTTGTCGTGAACTACTTTGTTAGAGGTACATATCGATCTAACGAGTCGGCCGCGCGCGCCCTCTCCCCATCCAGCAAGCCCCACTGCTTTTATATACCTGCAGCCTACTTCGGCCTGCCTGCACGCCGAGGCAGCGCTCGGCTCTCTTATCACCGACGGGGTAATCGTTAATCCGAGAGAGGCGAGCCTCCTTGTTTCGCCTCGCTCTCTCGCGCATCGGAGCAAATATAACCGGGCACTCTTATCTCTGCGCTATACGCGCTGATAAGCACGCGCCCCACACACACGCCGTTTCCTCCTTCGCGCGATGTTTATGATGGACTCGCGCGGAACGAACGCCATACTACGCGCCTCGCCGACAGAGAGATAGATCTCTTATCTCTGCGGACGCTTCGGCCCTTGGCTTGCTTTTTTCCTTTCTACTTCTCTCGCCAAGACTGCCCTCGCGGCCGACGCCGCCGCTTCGCTACCATTATCTTAAACGACGTTTCTACGTGCTTCCAGCGCCGCACTCCCTTTTTTATCGACCTACTCTCTCGCGGCTGACTGCTTAACACCCTGCCGCGAATTTTTTTTTATTTTTCTTACTTTCGCGCCTTCCCCAACCCACGGCGGCCAACGTTCGCCAACCGTTTTCTCATCCTGGCCGACTCCTTTTTCGTGAGGTGCCGTTTCTTATGCCGCAGATATGTAAAATATGCAAATGCGGCCAAGTCGCGTACCTGCGATATTTATGCAGATAGGATTCTTTAATCAAGTCGGCCGAATAAAATGCGAAAGCCGCAAGGAAATATGACCTGTTCGTACTCTCCCCATTCAATTTCAGCTGTTTTAAACAACGGGAGATTGAAATATTCGGTAATCGTGAAAAGATTATGCCTCTGCTGCTTTCGGGATCCTCTTCGCCGAATCAAACGAGGGTTGGGGCGATTGCGAGCGATGCCCCGAGTTTTATTATCTACCGCGCAGGGGACTCGGAATTCTCGCGCCATCAGTAGATAGATTGAACAGTCTCGCTTCAGGTCTGTGCATGGAAAATTATTATTCGATTTTCACTCCGCGCTCTTATCGCTAGAAAGCACTTTGCGCCTTGTTTAATTCAATGCATGTAGACTCGGGACATTTTTATTCGGAAACTTTTTACAAACTGCCAGCTGTAGATTTGCGGGAAACAACCTTAAGCAGAATACTGGAATTAATATTTGACGATGAAATATCACGACCGTTGGCAGAAGTACCATGAGCAGTTGTAATATTCATCTATAGGGGGAAGGGTGTCGAGTCGCGTGAAAAAAGTTATCACGAATGTTTTGAGTGTGCGCTTGTACATTATCGATTTACGGTACAGCAGGCTAGACAAATTTATTGTGAAAGTTTTGATAAAAAGAGGGAAAAGATTTTTTCATGCGATACGTAGAGATAAAATGTACGGTGTACCAAGAGATGATAGTATTAAAATGTTCGCGTTGATCCATTTTTCGATTTCCAGACGACACGTTTATCGCAATATTTTCTATAAATATCGCATGCGTTAACTCATAAATCAAAAAAAAGTTTGCTTTAACGCTATAACGAGAGAAAGAGGAAAAACGTCAAAATAATTTTTGTATCTAGATTGTTCAAGCAGTTATTAAGGAGAATAGTGTGGGTTAAAGCCAAGAAGAAAACTTCTTTCATAAAACAAATGGCTAGAGTCCTGATCTTTCAACGGGTCTTAAAAAAGTAACTTTGATCTCGGCAAACAACTAATCTCATATTACTTCCGGAAAGCCATGGAAACTTATAGATAGGTATATAGCAGAAACCTAGGTCATTGAGATAATGCACGCTTCAGCTGCTGGCATTAATTTTCTTCGAAAACCTTCTGCAGTGCTTCAACTTCAACTTCGGATTCTTCAAGCTTATAATGAAATTCAAATACAGTTGCTCAGGAGATGTTGTTTTGTACTTTCTACCTTCTGGTTAAAAGTGTACGTGACAAGAAAGTATTAGCATTGGAGACACAGAGAAAGAGAGAGACGTTTTCTAATGAAATAGCTACTGAAAAACTAAAGTAGTCAATGGTAATTGCATTTGATATCGTAATTACAATTGAAGTTATCTTTGGTTCAAATCTTTCTGTAAAAGTTAATGTATTAAAAAACTATAAAGCTTTCAAGATAACCTCTTGGGAGTATATTTTCAGAAAATATATTTCTCAGGTCGAAGATAACTACTGTTATTCTTGTGATATTCCGTGTGAAAGCGCTAAAAGTTGACCAGCTAATAACGTTAGACTGAAGACGTAGTGCTTTTAACTTCAGTTGAAAGTAGCAATGATGAAAATTTTATTAAAAAACGTTGAAAAAAGTATAGTACAGCAAATACCATTTTTTTTTATTTCTCCGAAATATTTTCTTCGCATTAAGCAAAAATTAAACAGTAAAGCTGAATATTCACCTTTCCATCTTGATATTGATGTTCGAAAACTCGGCGAATAAGAACAATAGAACGTCGAGCGACGGTGCTGGTATTTGCATTGATTAACAGTACAACTGAAAGTATCGACAAAACGGCAAAAAGCAGGTAGGCTAGCAAAAGCAAAGGCGAGTATGGCCAGAGAGAAGAGAGACGAAGAAAGGACTGGAGTTATTGGAAAAATAACGAGAGAAAGAAAGAGAGACAGAGAGAGAGCGAGAGAGAAAAGTGCAAATGGAAGAGAAAGCAGAAAGAAAAAAAGAAAAAAATAGCAAGTGTCTCTAGTTATCTGTGTCCCTTTTTCTCTCTTATTTGCGGTAGAGCGTTGAAAAAGAACATGAAAGGTGGGAGGCGAAAAATTTGACTTGCCGATGAAAAATCAGGCTTCCTATTGCACGATCTCGGTCGCTATCTTTCGCTTTACATATACATATACATAAAGGGAGGCAAGCGTGCAAATGTGCGACAGCGAGAATGTTGGCGTTAAGCTGGCGTATATGTATATTGGCAGAGTGAGCCACATCAGTAGCGCGGACGTCGACGTAATCAATCTCGATGAAATGGCAGTAAGGAGAGGGAAAGAGAGAGTATGGGGGCTGTTCGCATACACGCACGTACACATTGCACACAAAGGAAGACTGGAGACGAGCTCAAATTGACGGGCTTCTCTCTCTCTCCTCTCGCGTTGGCTCTGTTGGCGCAAGAAGAAAAGCGGCATGAAGCGTTTAGGGGTGTTCCCTCCATTCACCTGCCCTTTGGGCGCGTTCGAGGAAAATGTGCTCTTGTACGCGGTTAGCACAGTAAAGCGGCCTGCTGCCAGGCAGATACTTACGTAAATCTATACGCACACGTGCGTTTTGCAAGCCAGCCTATACTGGCAAAGCAACTCTCTCTCTCTCTCTCTCAACCGCTATCACGGTCGATGGAGGAATCGTGGGCGTTTGCGCCCTGTGTGCGATGCCGCCTCAACGCCAATGACTGCAGCCGCTAAGCCGACTGAAACTTGCTGGCCGCTGTGCGCGCAACCCCCCCCCCCCCCCCCCCTCTCCGGTGTTTTCACCAGACTCAGCTGCTACCGCTGCTCACAGTAATCGGTCTTGCAAAGAATTCAATCGCAGCAGACCTTGCAGCTCCTAGCTGTTCACCTATTGTTGGCAACTGCCACATCAATCAGCTTCCTCTTCCTCTACAGATCTTTCCGTATAGATTAATTTTCACGCTATTCACTATGAATATTCATCCAATAAAAAGTGATGTAACTTTCTGAAAAAAAATGAATAGCGGCATGTCTCAAGTAGAAATATCAGGGTATAATCGGACACACTCCGTACATTTTACAAAAAAAAGAGAAACAACGTGTAAGAGTAAGAAAATGCATGTTTATGAAATTGTGCTTAATCATTCACGATAAAAACATTTTTTTATTATTATTTTAACATATTACATATACAAATGACATATCCAAACTTGGAAATAACTCTTCCAAGGGGACGGTGGGTAGGGAGTTTCGAACTTTTTCATAAGGCTTGTTTGCAAAGAATCATAAACGCAATTTGTACGCAGAAGAAAAGATACGAGAGTGAGAGAGAAAACAACGTCGATTGAAGTCATAAAGTCCAAACGAAATCTCACAATATACGAATTGGAAATACAATTTCATAAGGGAGGGAGCCATCAATGTTTGAGACAAAACGAAAGTACTAGAGCGTAAAGGTAAAGATCAGAGGTAAATTGACGAGGACGAGAGAGAAAGCTGGGCAGATGAGTGGAATATTGGTGAAAGATGCGCAAGGAAAAATTGAGCCAAGTAAAGCGTCAGCAGCGGCGGACGTGGAGGAGTAGACCCAAGTGTTGTGGCGGGGAAGATGGTCCGAGGAAGATGTAGGCATTCTACTTCTGTCATCTCTTTCCTCTTCAGCTATTCCTTTGTTCTTTCAATTCTCTCTCGATTCCCCTCCGGCGAGCGATGATATCTCGTTCGGCATCCTCAGCCCTCGCTTTTACCCCCTTTTCTCTTCCATCTGGGACTCGTGCGATGCCATCATAATACGTGCACGCTCGCCCCACCGACGGATCAATTTACAGTAGGTCGCCGCTTATCTTCTGGCATTAGTATGACCGTTTTGATTCTGCCTCTATCATTTTTTTTCTTCGGCATGACATTTACGTTGGCAATCATGTTCTGTCTCTCGATCGAGCCTCGCCAATATTCTCCGCACCAACAAAGCCTCGTTTTTAGGACACTAGGGGGAAGGGGAGGGGAGGGGAGGAAGCTCGTACCGTCACCGCGTCGTTGAAAATACCACGTCGGTCCGCCACCACCACGCTCATCGGCGCACACCTCGAGAGCCTGAAAATTCCACGGCTGACTGAAGATCGCGCGGCCAAACTCGAACAAGCCGCGTCTCAAAAGCTTCTGATATGTAGAATTCCAAAGAGCTCGTGTATAAATATATAGATAGGTCAGACATTGCACTGCGGGTCAGATTCAAGACAAAAATACACGGAATACCGAAGAATATCTGAAATAATGACTATCGCCTCGACGCGACATGTCCGACAATTTCTGACCCGACTCAACTTTTTTCCTCCTTTCCATTCATTAGTCATGCGTTTGGCGTATATAAGGGCGACAATTCTACGTCCAAAGTTGATTTTGTCACTGTCGACTTCATACGATTCAATGATGTCATATCTGGTGGAGAATCCGACGAAGTGATCTTTATCTGCGAAGAAAGGAACCTACATGTAATCTTTAATGATAACTCCAAAACAAGCGTTTAATAGACAAAACTACTTAATTCGCGTATATTCCACTTTCCTTTCAAAAATACTGGAATAGTAAATGCTTTTTAGAAATGTCATAAATCCTCGATATATTCATGATTCTGCAGGCAACAGATCCTTCAATACTATACGGCTTGACAGGAAAGTAGGTTGAATGTAGGTCAAAAATTGAGAATAATTTTAAAAAGATCGTTCGAAAGTATACCTATGAGTATGTCTAACAGTATACGATTAATGTTTATAAATGAAATCTGACCTACTTTGCAATCAAAGTTTCCCGTATTTCCCGCTAAACCATCACAATAAACTTAAAACTATATAAATTTGATTGAATTTCTAACTGGCCATACTATTCTGATGTGAAAGTAGATAAAAACGCGAGAGCGAAATATCATCAGAAAAAGTGCCAATTACTCGAGGAACATTTCGACATCGAGAAAATAGTAATCGAGAAAAGTAGCTGCGGCAGTAGAATAACGCGCATCGCCAGAACAATAGACGCTAAAAGTCAAGTAAAAAAAAAAACGTTCGAGCGCGATATCGCTTTCGAAGTAAGGAGAAAAAAATCACTGTTTCCGCGGGTTCTCTCATTTCAACACGCGTCGCGACGAGTTCTTACAAAGGTGAAGCGACGTAAACCGAGAGGAATCGTGGACGAACCTGCGGATGATAGAAGCCATCTTCCATGCCAACAGTCGCCGGTCGAGGCATCAATGGTGCGTTAACCTTCGACGGGGTGGACAATGTGCTGAGGAGAAAATTACTCTGACCCACATCGAAGCAATTGTGGTTTAATTTGTATCGGCTGCCACGTCGCGGAATTTCCGCGGGACTTAGTACCTTTCTTCGTTGCTTTGGCAATTTGCTACGTGCCTGTGTAAACAACAAACAATTTTTACTTCATTGAAAAATCACTTCTCTTTTACGTGAAAATCAGAATTTCAAGATTTCTCCTTGAATTTAATTTACACTAACTCAAATACGGACAACGAGTTTCACATAGCAAAGTCGTCATTTTATACTCTATTGCGTAAATTTCAATACACGTTAGGCAAACAATTTACTCAAATATCTATGTTTTGAAATAAAACTATAAATTCACCTTTTTCGCGCGTACGTTTCTAAGAGTCATTATAAAGCACTCTAGCGATACCTACCTGTGTATGCGAATAAAACATTGAAAAGTTGCTAACGATCACAGGAACTGGAAGAGCTATGGTGAGGACACCGCCAAGTGCACAAAGACCACCAATGAACATTCCTGGAATGGTTTTCGGAGTCATGTCGCCGTAACCAACTGTGGTCATGGTTACCAAGGCCCACCACAAACCGGCTGGGATACTTTCGAAATCATTGTTAGGATTGTTCTGCAAATCAAATTCGTCTCTTTTTCCAAGTGTAGCTAATCGTCGCGTCGATTCGAACAAACAATGCCTTTGGCTATCAAAATATGCTATTCGCATTATTTCTACAAAATGTGCGATAACTCACACGATAATATTATTAATATTATTATATTATTAAATTTACATTTATGCCCACGGGTGATGTTGTTACTGGGTAGTAGACACGGCAGTTCTATATAAGTAGGTGCAGCTTTATACGTTGCGTCAACCGTCAAATCTTCTCTCGACTCGTGTTACATTATTATAATAATAATTTAATGACGTAGCTCTTTATACGTTCAAGTATATCGTATTACAAAAGAAAACGAGTGGCGGAACAAAAGAATATAAACAACAGAAAAATTATAACTTTGAAAAGTCGGATAACGAGGAACGAGAGTTTGACGCTCAAAGAACAAAAGATCGAGGCAAAATGACTCGTCGACAGAGTTGGAAAGCAAACGTAAAGAGCCGACACTGATATTAAGGACGCTAATATTATTCGTATAGGAACGCCAAGTGTTTGTTGGCATCGCTGTCTCTTTCAGCGTCTCTTCGTCTAGTCGCGTGGCGGAAATAGGTAAAATGAAATGGCAAGTGACACGGTGAAAATTCGTAGGCAGCGCGAGAAAACGGGACAGGCTCGGAGTGGCGAAAAAAAGTCGCGAAAAAGTAGAGAAGAGGCTGCAGAGGAAAAAACAAGGTCCTGCGCGGGGTGGGCGTGAGAGTGAAAGCCACGAGGATAAGTAATTAAGGCGGACGGCGAGGGAAAAAGAAGCTGGGAGTTTTATCAGCGGTGGCAGAAGAAAAGGCGTCTCGATCGCGGGACTCGAGTAGACCGGCTGGCATTACCTGAAGACGCTCGGCGTAATAAATGAGGCTGGCGAAGAGGACGATGCCAAGGAGTAAGAAGAAGACCAGCAGCGCCAGTACTTTGGCCGAAGCCCGGAACGTGTGCATGAGTATCCGCAGGCCGAGCGAGTGGCGCGTCAGCTTGAACAGTCGAAGCACCCTTACGATCGACAGTAGTTCGAGGTACAGCCCGAGTCCTGCTGACGCCGACTCCAAGGCAAGAAACTCGGCGTAGAAGCTCAGCGTCGCCGCGAGATCGATCATGTTCACGGGAGAAGCCACGAACTCTTTCTTCCTTGGGCAGACCTGCAACATGCGCTCGCTACACATTGATCGGAAAAGTCGGTGCAATTCAGCCATCGCGGCTTCGCTCTCGACGAATACCACTTTGCCTTGACGTATTCTCTTCTTCGTTTCATTTGTGTATGCTTTTCAAGTGTCTCTTCATTTCTCTTGGTCTATTTTGCTCTCTCAATTAACGCATGACTTCCGTACGGTCATTGTGAAATCGACGCGATTTTATTGCAGCTCTTTAACTGCACTTAGCAGAGATTACGGAAACTTTCAATTTCTCAATATTCCCTCGGCTTAATAAACTGGTTAATACGGTGAGATTAATTTCCAGGAGATTAAGAGTCTATCCGTGATTTCAACTTGGGAAATTTAGATAAACGAGGGAAAATATCAGTAACGTTTACGGTTATCAGCAAACTTTTTATTCTTACGATTTTTAGGAACATCGCGTTCATCCCAATTTTCCGATCGTGACCAAAATGAAACTGCAAAACATGCATTTCACTTTTCTGTCCTTAGTTATTGCTGTCGTCAAAAGTTTTCCAGCGGCTGGAGAAGTTTACGTGGTGGTTTTTTTCATTGTGAATGATAAAACAATCCTTTGAGAAGACGCTTGATTTTTGTTACAGAAAAAGTTATGGACCATAACTTCGATATGTAATTCATGACATCTTTTACGACATTATTTTCAATTCCAAGCATTTTTCCGCCTCCCGATAACAGATCAGTTTTTGCGTCGAGAGTTATAAAGTTTTATCATCGAATGATAGTTGTCCGACAACTTTGACATACAGATATGATTTGATTTGGCATTTGTCCACTCAACAGCTGCGTTTTACAGCCTGCACAAATCTTGATTTATTAAAAACGGGAAATTTTGGTCGTACTTTGAAAATAAAAGCGTAAAAAGGAACGTGCATTTGTCGCGAACGGCACTCGCGCTAAGTGACATGCAGAAACGCGGTGTCAGAACTCGTTTTGCACATATCCAGACAAAAATGTAAACTTTGACCGCGTTCGATGTATCAAAAAGTAATTTATGTCCAAGCCTGTGTTAACAAAAACCGCATTTGATAAACTACTGTTAAGTTCTTAAGTTCTTGTGAGCCTGTGGTGTGGTAGCTCATTACCTTCCACTTTCCATCAAGTACTTATCTGCCCAGCAAAGTATTTTAAACTTGGACCCCCCCCCCCCTCCAAATGTTCTTAACAATAAATAGTAAGCCCACTTGTGCGCGTAAAGCAGTTTATCAACATTTTATAAAAAACTTAGGAAGCTCTAACTTGGCTAAAAGTTAATTAACGAGATGTCACTTCACTCCTGATATAAATACTCAGGTACGCGAACGACTGATCGAGGCAAGATGGCAAGACGATACTCACGATGCATCTTATGAGAAGCTCGAAGGTGAACCAAGCGTTGCAGGTGTGCTCCAAGTAATAGAGCATGTCGCTTTTGCGAATAGTCCTGTTACCTCCGTGCCAAGTGGTGTGGTTGAATATAATTTCGTCCTCGACGACGTTGGTATTGTTGCGATGCACCCTGATGCGATGCGTAGAACCGACGGTTTTCATGCAAAACGACAGCACCGACAAGCAGATGAAGAGAATAGAAAGACTCGCCAGACATTTCGCCGAAGTTGACGAGTAAGGCGAATCGAATAGATCCCAAATTTTCGGCCTTAGACGCTGCCATCGCGACTTGCGATTCTCACTTTTTTCACCGTCTACAAAATCGTCTGTTTGATCTTGCATTAGATTCCCACTCTGACGATCACCGTCTATGTCCAACTTATCCAGGATCGCCAACGTCGCCTGGGTATCTCTGTATGTGCTGTACGTGCTCCAGCAGCACGGCTCCACCTAAGACAGTCCGATCCTGATTAGATTTAACCGTAATTACATTCATCAGCGCTTTTTTCACTCGAAATTCGAAAACATTGAAAGCGAAACAGAGAGATTTTCATCCATTGACCGCAGTGTTACACCGTGTTAACTACACGGAGTTGTGTTTTTTCGGAAGTGCTTATTTTGAGACATTATTTGCGATGGATAGTAGCCCCAAGTAACGCGAGAGATCGCTGGGAAGCGCGGCAGCAAAACAAGCACAAATCAAAGGGCAAATAAATGGTGAAATAGAGAAACTCCGGGGCGCGCTCAAAAATATAATCAAACAAGTCCGAATTGGAACATAGCCGCGCTGATGAAACGGCCGACAGTTCAATGCCGGGCGCGCGTAATCCGGGCGAAAAGTAATCCGCAGCACGCGTACACGTGTGCGCGCGAGGACGCGGGGACGCGCGAAAACGACGAGCCCGCGAAGCGTGATATCCCCGCTGCGAGCGTGGCGGCCCTCCTGCGGGACTTGGAAACTTTTGGCGGATCGTGTTTTCGGGCCGCGCTATATGCCAATTCTCCCCCGGGGCCAAGCGCGCCGCGACGTATCGACAAGCAGGCGATGGCCAACCGGCAGCTCGATAATAAAGCCCGCGTGCCTTCAGCCACGGAGGCGAGAGGCGAGCAGCCGAAGTGAAACGCGCGAGTCGCTGCAGCCGCGAGCGCGCAAGGGAGCGAGAGAGATCGATAGGATCGTTGCGGATCCGCCACCTGCATCCCTCGATCTTTCAGCGCTATTCCGTTCCTCCTCGGTGCGTCGGGCGACTGCCGCGGCGCCCACTCGCCTTTCCCACGGGAGTACGAACGATCGCGACTGACTTTCGCCGTCCCGGGAACCGAGTTTACCTTTGTAGCCGCCTTTTAACTGCCGCGCGCGAACGTAACTGCAAATAACGCGAGCGCGATAAAAAGTTAAACAAGACGGATGAATACTGGTGGCGATTGCCTGCGCGTGCTCTCGACTTCGCGTAGTATATGTACGTACGTTAGAGCGTCGATCTATATAGCGCCACACGGATGAAGCAAACATTTGTAAGCATGAAGTTTTTAAAAGGAATCTTGCGGGTTCCCGCGTAAAAGATACATTTCAGCAGTTTTGTTTGCCTTTGGAATATAACTTTCCGTTCAATCGATTGATCGTCGCGCTAAAAGCTTCACTGAATATACGCTTAAAGAAGTTTGACATTCCGTGGCTAACGAAAGAAATATCTCGTAAAATTTATTCAACAGGCGACTGGATATTAGCTCACCATTTAATTGCGCGATTCCAACTAATTTCGACAATTTAAACTCAATGAATGTAACTCGTGAGATAACGAGATGGAAATGCAAGTCTCTCACATTGATATCCTTCGGTAAGTGGAATGAAAATCCTACTGACTTTAAAATTAAAACTCGTAGTTTACGCGGTGATGAACCGTTTATGGGCGCACAGCTTACGACGCGTTAATATCCACATATTTATGACTGACTTCCGTTATCTTTGATCCGAATAAATCCAGTTGGCTCGGAAACCGTAAAAATATATTCACACGAGTATGCGGCTCCGTTTCCATGAACTTTCGAGCCAATATAACGTTAAATTTTTCATGGCTATTTTGAGATCTTACAAGAGATTATTTTCAACAATGTGAGATCAAGGCTAATCATGACGTGCTGTGTTCTATCAAGTAAGACCTAAATACAAATGTTCGAAAACAAACAATTGAAACTTCTCCACTAGATCTATAAATACTCGACCAACAGCTAAAGTAGATTTGTCCAAAATCATTGTCTGTCCAACAATCGAATCCTAAAAATTGTTAGTATTCAGCTAATTGACGCGATTGCATATGAAAGCTTGTGTAACTAATTTTCTTTAAAAGGATTCTCTTTCAATAGCAATATAACTACATCAACGGCAGATAAGATATCATTATTAACGCGATACACGCGATATAAAAAGTAAAAAAGTATTAGGTAATGTTCATGTTCAGATATGAAACAAAACAAATAAACAAGTACAAATTCTGCATTAATCGATTTTTACGGTGAATTTTATGAGTCATATATATATATATATATATATATATATATATATATTTTTTTTCAAAGCAAATAAAAGCAAATTTTATGATGATACTTTTAGTCAGTATTCTGAAGCATCATGAATGAAAATTTCTTTAATCTTAAATATTATGCCCGGTTATTTTATAAGTTTATTTCACGCTAACGTCATTTAAGATTATGACAAAATAATGATTGATTTCAAATTTTCATATTAGTTTCAAATTTATGGTGATATGATTTTATTTTATTAATCAATACTATCGCTATAATTCCAAATGAAATCGATCGAAAAGGAAAATCAAGTAGCTATTTCCGGATCAGAAATAAGAAGCTAACGTGTACGCAAAGTGCATACGAAAACACCTGCAATTAGTGGAGAAATATGAACGACGATGACCATGAGTGCATGAACTCACCGTGACACAAGTATCTGCTATTCCATTTAATGTGTATTAGCCCGTAGGAGCACCTACGCTATGACATTTAGCAGGGTAGGAGTGGCAGAATTCAAATTCATGTTTGTGATTTTGCAGCTCTGTAATGGAGACGTGTCCTCGAATTTACGCGTATTCCCATTTATGCGTACTTTGCGCTGACATATCCATCAGCTGAAATCTCATCCTCCACTCTCACTCGCCGAATACACATACCAACTATTTTATTCGCCGTTCCTATGCGAAACTTTTAATTGGAACTATTGTCCCCGCTTTCACAGCTCTAGCCGAGTTTTACATTTTATCTCTTTTTAAATATCTGGAATGGCCTCGTGCAACGTAATTTCATATTTACGATATAAAGACCGCTTAGAAATTCATTGCTAGCAATATATCTTAAATGAAATTCGTGGAAAATGTAGAAAATTTTCTGTATAAATATACCAGATTCAGCAAAGTAATGGCTAATGTTCAAATATGAATCGTATATTTCCAAGCTAAGATAGTCTATTTTCTCAGACTATTTGAGTAACCTATATTTTCTTTTCATGATTTTTTACAATAACCCAGTTCTGAAGTATTCTTTCTCAAAGTGAATCGTGTTATTAAACAGAATTTATTACTTTACTCGGGCAAATCAAAAATCAAAGAAAATGCGAATAACCGACAATATTTTTGGGTTGACAACTTTTTACGTCGCGTAAGAACATTTTTAATTGCAAAATAACAAATTAGTAAACTTGATAAATTGATCTGTGTAAAACGTGATGAGGCGCTTGACGTTACTTGTGCAATAAATGCTAAAATAACTAATACCGAAATCAATATCCTTTTGAAAGAATATTGAAAACACAATGGGAAGCAAAACAGATAGATTTGAATAGGAAGACCCTCCAAGTAAAGATCCTTTCGCGTGCGATATTTGTAGGCCGGGTATCATCGAGTCAACGTCGAGCTAAAAGAAAAGGAAGTAGAAAGAAAAGGCGATAAAAAAGAAAAAAATAGAGTTTGTTCAGCAGCAGTGAGAAAAGCCGATTAAGTTGAAGAAGCATCAGCACGCAATAAAGCAGAGCGCAGTGCAGCTACAAACAAGGAGGCAAGGCTAGCAAGGCAGGCGAGGACGTCAATTGAATTTGATTTTGTCTTGGGCGAGAGAGAAAAAGCAAAATGCCAACCTGATTGGAGTCAAGGCCCCAGTATTCAAGCTCATCTTCGAACAGCGGTCCGCAGACGTCGGTCGGGTAATGTAATTTGCCCGTGCGATAGTAATTCAACACCTGAGTGAAGACACTGGGATGGCGATCGAAGAAATATTCGTTGAGCACGGGATCGTAATTGCCGGCTTTGTCCGTCAGCTTTTGCAAGCGCGTCGCTGGAATCTTCTTCAATGTCGTTTTGTACGTCTCGTGCCTGACGCCTCCGACGTTCAATACCACCCGATTGTCGGCATCCATTCGTTACACCTCCCATCCGTTGTCCGGGATAAAATGATCGATCCTGCAAGCTTAAATCATCATCGTCAGTTGAACTTACGTCACTTTTATTCCGTCATTTTTGTCGTGGGCTCCCATCGTCACAAGATTTCGGACGCCTGAGAAAATCAACTCTCGAGCGAGCCCATTCACTACAAATTTCTAATTTATCACGCCTTTGTCTCGTCCCGTGTGATTTGTTAGCGCGAATGCAAGTGAGATATATGAGCGGCAAACTTCGAAGCAACTTTTCGTACATACCGTCCTCAAGCGTAATTCAAAAACTGTGCCCGTAAAATTTGTCACGCTTATTGGATATGCATAATGAATAATTCGTCAACACCGTTGACAACCGCAGCGTAGCTGTGAAAGAAATTAGGCGAACTAAATATCGTGTAATTTTCGTTGCGCGAGTTTGTCAGTCAAACGAATTTATCAGCAGCATATCTGTCAGCTGCTTGTACGTTGGTACTATTTGCGTTAGCATAGTCATCAACAAGAGACGAAAACAACCAAAGCATTTTGTAATTTCGCCGGTAAATTAAACTCCACTTCCAGCGCTTAAATTCAGCAGATAAAGTCAGATTGAAAATTATATTTTCAATCCGGCAACGCCATACACGCTAAATATCCAACGGGAGCGCTGCAGCAACAGCTATAGGGTAAATTTTAATACGAGAGGAAGCCATAGCTGCGCTCTCGCCCGAAGCGGTCTGGTCATGCACAATAACGCCAGTGGAAAAGTGAATAAGTCATGAGTAGCAGATAGGAATAGGAAGATAGCTTGCATACCGTAGTGCTGATGTCTAACGGGACTTTCGTCGTTCGATAAGCGTGCTTAATTTCCTGCTGGCAATGCCAAGAGAGAGCTGCAAGCAACGGCGGCACGAGGACATCGACGGCGCCAACGCGAAGGAATCACGCGGCTCAACGGACACGGCGCCATTCGACCACTTGACGAGCAATTCAGCCGATTGAAACGGTCGCGCCCGGGAGACCAGTTCGAGAGAGAGAGAGAGAGAGAGAGAGAGAGGCGCGGCACACGCACACGTCCAACTACTACTCTCGCGAAACTCGACTCGTCTCGCAACGAAGCGCCTCCGTTAATCGCGCAAAACTTTTCCTATTAAGCCGTTCAGCGCGGATAATTTGCCTCGGTTCTTGGTCTCCGCGAGAAAACGAGTCGAAAGAAGAAATAAAAAGCGAGCATACATGTATAGATATATAAAGCGCGTACGATGTCGCTGCCGGGTGCGAGAGCGCTCAACTGGCGCTCCTACGTTTTTCTCTGAGCCGGCCGAGCCCTCGTCGGGTCGTGCTTGTGGCAAGCTCACAAAGAAAAAGATAGAGAGAGAGAGAGAGAGAGAGAGAGAGAGAGAGAGAGAGAGAAAGAGATATGGGGAAGAGTGGAAAAAGGAGGCAGGAGAAGGGGCATCCCTCTCTCTGTCTCTCTCTTGCTTGGCACTCATTTGGGAAAAGGAAATTCGGCCTTCTGCTGTAGGGGACGCGCGCACTCTTGTTCATTTTCGATCGACGCCGCGCGTCAGTGCGTCTGCGTGATCATCGTATCAATCCGTCGTACGCGGTGGCGGCCCATAGCGACGATTAGTCAGGCTCGCCGTTGCCTCGATGAACGAGAGCGCGTAGCACACGTACGTCTGCCCTTTCGGCAGTTGCGCGAACTGATATATAGTGGCTAGCAGTCCGCTGATCGATGACGCTAGCGACAAATTCGAGCTTATCAACGGTGCCAACCGTGTGCCACCTCACACGCGTCATCTCTGTCTATGTGTCTCTCTGTCTTTTTCTGTTTCTCTCTCTCTCTCTCTCTCTCTCGATTTAATCTTTGCGCGTGCGTTTTCCCTCGTCAAATCCTTTTTCCCGAGCACAGCTCCGGCGCCGGCACGTGCTGCTGAAGGCATCAACACCGTCGCGTACGCCGAGGGTCACGTCGATGCGCGTCGCGTACGTGCGGGGCTGGCGCCGCTCGCGCTTATCACCGCACGAGCGACCACGCGGCGGCGGCGGCGGCGGCGGTGGCGGCGGCGGCCGTGTAATGCCGTGCGATTTGTTTGCGACTACGCAACAGAGAGGGAGAGGAGCCTCGCTGCCGTACCTCGCTGATAATGAGTACGTCCATCGAATATACAGTGACGAGCGGCCGCATGCAACGACACGATTCAACTATTAAGCAAATTGCAGCGCATTAGTCTCTCACAATGGACTGCCCATTGCTCAACCTGGCAACGAGTTCCTGCCCCTCTCTTTCGATAATCCTGCAATGTGCATTTGAATTAGCTTTCAATTTACCGTTCGCTATCGACTTGCCTGGTATACAGTTCAAGTTGCTATTTCTGCGTTTGGCTTGCAATCAAAAACAAGCGCTGCGACTCACTTGCACGAGTAGGACATCTAATGCTTTGCATTCGCGCTTATTTTCGTTCCGATGGGCGAAACATTACTGTACGTTCTCGTAAACGGGGCTTTGCGTGCTTTTGCAAAAGCCCTTTCGTACGGACATATTAGAGAAAGTCGCTCGTTTGAGGAGGCGACGAGTCATCTTTAAATACTTTTTTAGGTCTAAAATAGTATCTTGTGTAACTTTTTCACGGAAAAGCTTATCTTTTGTTGGACAAGGCTTTACTTGATTACAGTAAAATGTATCTACATATTGATTGCCGGCATGCCAAACCATTTAACAAGATAAAATCATCTTCTCAAATGCATTGATCGATAGTTTATGAAATTGCTGTTATGTCAGAATCGTTGGTCGCTTCTGTTCTCGAGCGTTTCACTGTACGAAGAAAGTTATTCTTGTGCAAACGGAAAAAAGAGTTGATCTAAAAATTGACACGTGAAAATCATTGTTAGCTTCGAGTGGTAGGAGATTAGTCTGCATGCTTTTCGTGGTTGTAGGAAACTAGAATTAATGCATACAGGTAGCTTGTATACCTATGCAAAGATAAAATGAAATTAATTAGTCCGAATAGCAACAATAACAATAATATCCTTTACTACATAACTTCATCAAATTTTGCACTGCAAAAAATATCCGTTTGTTTTTCTAAATAACCATGTAATTTATACGGTGAAAATTCAATTTAGAAGTTTGAGTACATCGAGTACGTTTACTGCAGAAAACAGTTGTCACAGAAAATGAGAGAGAGAGAGAGAGAGAGAGAGAGAGAGAGAGAGAGAGAGAGACGAGGAAATAGCTTGAAACTAGTCTCTGTTATAGTTTCTATCTGCTTTTCGGTACAAAATAACTTTTGAAATTTCCTATTTCAGACGGAATTCCAAACATAACTTCGGAACTACTTCACTTTAATATTTGCGCACTCGAGCTTTGAAAGTGAAGTGTTCATAGCCGTGACAATGTTGAAAGAAAAATTCTTTCCGGGGCTCACTCGATTCAGTACGAAATAGATCGATATAATCCAATGTTTTATGTACATTCTTCTGATTTTCGTGCATCACTCCGTGTCTGCGCGATAATGATAATAATCGAGAGCCGTCGATCGGTTAATTATCCGAACAGACTTTCCAGAAGTAGTATATTTCCAATGAGGCAGGCGTATGTAATGCGCATGCTGGACATGAAAAACTATACAATACGTAGATCCGAGCGAAATGAACGCGCAGTATTGATTCTGTCCTTTTTTTTGCAGCCGGCCAACGGAAAATTCATGAAACTCAATCTGTCAACGTAACAAGATTAGGAGGAGACACGGGACGTCGGGCTGTGTCTGCAAATCGATTACACGAGCTGTAATGTAAATTCACTAGACCGCAATCTTGTTACTTGCCTACGCGCGAACACACTCATACGCACACGCACACTGAATAATACGATTTTATTGGCTTTCGGTATAACTATGTAGTTATAACTCATGACACACACACAGTCTCCGTTGTGGAGCTCCGAAAACTTGGCGTAGCAGAGAAACATTGCGGTAAACTCTCTGTGCACGAGTACCAAAGTACGGAGCATCATCATAGAGCGACTCTCGCAGTTTCAAGATAAAGGACTTTTAGTTTTTGAGAGATTTAACTTTGCAGTCGACGCGGTAAAGAATTTGTACCGCGCGCGCCGGCAAATCGTCGAACTTCAAACTACCGGCTTTGTTTATCTTTGCGATTCGTTGTTATGGTTGTTTTTCTTTTGCGAGAAACTGATTCTAGGCTCTTACAAATTTCCACCGATTCATAGATCTTTGTTCAAGTGTGAAATTCAAAATCGTACCGATCGATATTGAGGATTTTTCTCGTTGCGAGGTAGTTTGCATATACCTAGCCTTCGTATTATAAAGAAAAAAATTATGTACTCGAGTGAGTAACGTCGTTAAAAAGTACTATAAGTGACTGCCGCGCTAAAACTACGTTACTACGTAGCTCTCGTAATTCCGGCGGTTTGGCACAAAGTTAAGCGATAGCGCGAAAAAGGACGAACAGGTATGATTTGAAGATTGCAGAATGAGAACGTGCGTTACGGATCAGGCAAGTTCGCAAGTGTCCTTTTTCGAGGCGTCAGAAAAACTTAGCTTTTGAAAATAGACCGCTGTTTGCCGGGAGAGGAAAACAAGGTTAAGAAGAGTTTGTTCGTACTCCAAGTAATACATATAAGTCTCTCAGCCGAAAGAGATACGAGCATATATAGACGATAGATCTTGCGTCGGCGTCTCGATCCGCCTACGTTTTCGAAATCACTTCTACATTTGTTCGGGATTGCGGTAGTAGTAGACTTTGTAAGTGTGCGGCTCAGTTTTGGTAGCGATCTTTGCGAGCGGCGGCACACGATGGCTTTTCGTACCACGCCGAAACTTTTTGCGATATCGCCCTACGTATATAGGCACACAAACCTAACTTCCAAGTATTGTTCATTAACTATTCATCGATGACAATCTCTCGGGACTCGATGGAGTTCAGCAGCTGTTTCTCTCGCGATCAACAATTGCCGTAAGCAAGAGCCAAGACCGAAGCAGGTGCTTGCAACTTTTTGCCAGTTAAGCGGCGGTATATGTAGGTTCGCGTTGTTTTCGCGCTTGCAATTTGTACGTTTCTCGACTGAATTTCGCTTGTCACCTGGTGGATTGATAAACGGCATTTTGCCTGCCGAGCTCGAAGAGCCCGTGCGAGCGATTCCGTTCTCAAAGTTACGTACAAAGTTTTTGCACAACTTCCGTATCCGACGTGAAGTATTGGCAATTTTATTTTCAAACGGTTGATACAGGCAAAGCCTCTCTCGCAATAATACGCCGAGAGTTGAAAATAAAGCTTGATATTTTACAAATCGTTAGACAATTAATCGAGTGGAAGTGCAGATGAAACATGGAAGGAAAAAGAAGTCTACGCTATGGCTATAGATCGTTGTCAGCAGTGCACTTGGTGGGCCAAGATAGAGAAGGGCTAATGAAAAGATCGGAAGCTCGATTGCAATCAATTCAGTGAGGTCCGGGCTGATCGCTGAAACGCAGCAAGCTTGCGAGAGAGAGAGAGAGAGGGAGAGAGCGGCCGCAAAGACACTCCATTATAGTCATGTTGCGAGAGCAGGCGGATGAGCTGACGCGATTTCGTCGTGAATTATTATCTACTGTTGGCTCAGCTGCTGTCAACGACATGCGCCTCGCGCGCATTATGCAATTTATCGAGCAAAAGAGTGCGTGTCGCGGCGCGATGATATCGGCTGTCCACTGCACAGTAGCGGCAATTACTCGATATTCCATTCCGTCGGAATTACAATGATTAACCACGGCTGTATATACGTAGATATTGCTGCGTCACGGCTGAATCGGTCGGCAAGCGGAAGGGAAGAGACAAGAGAGAACGGGACGTGCGAAACACGCTCCGCAAGCCCGTAAATTGCATTAATTTGCGGCTGGACGTGGCCCAAAGACGCGCGACGGCCATAGGCAGCTCGAACGTGCAGCGAGCCCGCGCTCGGAATCAAGATCGCAAGTCAAACGGGATGAATTAGCTCGTCCGCGGGCTGCTTCTGCGCGCAAGCTCGCGCGTCGCCCGCTGCGCGATAGCCGTTGGCCAATGATTAATGCAGGACCAAAGTGTCGCTCGCCGTCAAGCCGCTGCAGGCTATCTCTTTCATCTCTGCTCATCGCTTCTAGAATTAACATCGCTCTCCTCTCCCCGCACTCGTCAGCACTACAACCATCCACTTGCAGATAATTTGCTTAACTACCGCGAGCTTCGGACGAGAAAGCTTCTACTTTACGCGAGGCGACAACCAATCCATTTCACGCTATTTATTTCTAACAATTATTATCATCCAATTAAGCACACGTTCCGAATGAAAGACGCTGCAAGTTTTTCATTTGAGCTGCCTGAGTACGATTCCGTGAACACGTGGCTAGATGTAATTCCATTAAATTACATTGCGAAAATGCATTCCACAAGGTAATGCGACTTTCTCGAACAAGAACAAACTAACACTGAGGGTTAATCTACAAAAACTAGTTTCACCGAAGAAAGGCAAAGTGTCATGCAGTTATGGCGAGCAGATTACAAGGTGAGGTATCTTGAAGATCAATGTTCACAAAACAACCTCTCTGAAAAGAGGAGACGAGGGGTATGATGTTCGGGCTCACGAGAAACTGATTGCAAGTAGAGGCCACTTAAAGTGAATCAATAACAATGGTGTGTAGGTTTACGAGAACGCCTTGTAATAATGACTTGCACAAACCAGCATTTCGTTCGCGATCGTGAGTTATATCCTTCATACGGTAATTAATACCGAAGGATTTCCTTTCAATGTCACGAAGAGAACGGCGACAACTGTAATGTTTGACGGCAGGTAGCGAGAGGAGTTAATTGGAACTGGATCGATATATTTGGCGCGTTTATTGTTTATAGATAGTCGACGAGGCTGCCACGCGTGTATCCGCGGGAATCAAATTAGACTGTTACGAAATATTTGATGTTGGCTACCTGCGATGTTGACGACGATCGATGCTCTCTTTCTCTCTTTCTTTTATAGTAGAGAAAGAGAGAGACAAAGAGAGAAGGGAAGGAGGGTGGCCAAGCGAAATTAAATAACGAAGCCAACAAAGAGATGCGCGGAACGTTCATCGCCAAGACAATGCCACGGGGGAAAAGGCCGCGAGAGCGAGGATTTACGCAGAGAACGCAGGACATGCAAAATAGAGCAATGCAATCTAGCCAGGGATTTATCGGCGCATCGTAACGAGGATCGCGGCGAGCGCTGCAGAACGGTGCAGAGGGACTGCGAGATAGGCCGAGATCGATACAGAGCTGAGCTGCAGCGCGAGCCTAGCTGCCATCGCTAAAAGCTCGCGTCGGCCGATCGTCGGCGGCGCAGCATCCGTCGGCAATCGAGGACTTCCGCGGACCGACTCGCGATGCTGCGAGGGTAACGACTCCGCCCCTGGACCGGCAGCATCCGCGGCAGAGGCGCCAGTCTCGCTGTACGCAGGCGCTCTGCCCTTTGCATCCCCCGTCTCGCTTTCGCGAGTAGCAGCTGCCGCGCTGAGCCTGCTGAGCGACGGACCTGTGCCCCCGAGGCCGTCTCTGTCGCTCTCGGCGCATGGGGGCTCGGCAGAGGCGCGCGCGCGCTCTCTCTCGCTCTCGCCACGCAGCAGCAGCAGCAGCCGAGACGTCGGAGCTGGTCGAGGGAGTAGCATCGGCAGCAGCAGCAGCAGCAGCAGCAGCAGCAGCAGCAGCAGCAGCAGCAGCAGCAGTGGTACTAGCAGGGGCACCGAAAGGGCAGCGAGGGACGATGGGCTGGCTGCATCGCTAGGACCGCGCGCGCTCACTGTCGACGGGGCGGAGCGCCAGCAGCAGGACGACGACCGACCAAAGGACGATCGATAGATAGTGGCTGCTGGCTGGTGCGCGCGGGGGTGCGGCCGGGCCAGCGGCTGGCAGTCAGCGCCATGCCCGGGGGCCCGACCGCCGCGGCCGCCCACGCGATGCGGCCCGCCGAGCTCCAGATGGACCCGCGCAGCCTGCCTACCTATCAGCCGGCCACCACCCCCCAGGCTGCGTCCTCCTCCGCCTCCACGCAGGTCAGTCGCATCATCGAATTGTGCATCCTACATCCTGCTGGCACACCGTAACCTACTTTTCTACCCCCATTCATGCCTCTCTCTCTCGCTCTCTCTCTCTTTCTCTCCCTCTGCCCCCTCGCCACTTCGAAATACAAGCTTGGGCTTTCGGCTACAATTACGTAAACGCAAATAATTGTACGACAGGCGGTCCGTGAGCGCGTGGTGCGTAAAGCGAGACGACGATTTAGTTGAAATGAATTTGTCCGAGGTGTGGACGCGGCGGCGAGCACACGAGTGAAACGTACACTGAAAACAAGCGAAAACGTTGACAGTGTAAACACAGCCTCGCTTTCGTCTCTCAGGCGCCAACGCAGGGAGAGAGCAGGAGAGAGAAAACGGAGAGCAGAGCCGCGTGCTCGCGTGTATACAGTCCTGTGCCCGCCACTGTGCCGCGCCACATGTACATTTATATAGGTGTGTACGTCCTATCGCGTGAAAGTGTATATGTAGGTGACCCGATTATAGGGATACTTAGGTTGAGGCGAATTATATTTCACGCAGCCAACAACTCTCTCCCTACCTTGTTCTTGAGAGAAAGAGAGCGAGTCAGGGAGAACGCGAGTTAAATAGCTTTGTTTTCGTCGCAACCGCCAATTATAATACGCGCAATATTTTATTATAATCACTGCGTGTAGGCTGCTTAAGCGCCGCTCTATTCTGCTTTATTTACCTCGCTCGGGCTGTACGAGCACGTACTGCTTGTTCAATTTTTATCCTTGTTATTTTCGATCATCGTTGTATGATCGCTTTATTATTATCATCGCGAAGCGTGGGTTGATGCGAGAGATTATTATCATCGCGAAGCGTGGGTTGATGCGAGAGTTCATTGCGTATCGGCTTTTCCCCCAGCTACGAAAAAAACGATGCGTCTGCTTTCAGACAAATTGGATTACATAATGTAATACAAAGCTTAAAATAACGATTTAACTCAACGGAGCGTCTATAAGCAATTGTCTACCGTAAACTAATTGTTAGAAGAAAAAATACCGTGCGCACCATTGATTATTCACGTAAAGCTTTTATTGTAATTATTCTCAATTCAAAACTAATTGTTTTATTATAACTAGCCAATTTTGAGTATTACATTACTGACGAAGCTTTCAGCGGAAGTTACCTTAGTAAGTTTAAGATTGACGCTCTGAAAATCGTTATCCTTGTATTATTGAATAAGTATTTATATACTGCAGTATGCGCGACCTTTAAGATAAAAATATTTCATCAATAATTGTTTACATCAAACAAATAGTTACGGATACTATGTAATTCGATCAAATTGAACAAAATTCTTGTTCTGTTTGCATTACTCGCAATTCTTATACCTGCATATTGAAAATTTCCAAACGCTATTCCATGCACGGATTTCCTTTAACAACATATGACAGCTTTATTAGAAATTTTTTCATCTATTAGAAATGTTTCATATGTATTTCGATACTATCAAAAATCAACGAATATGCTAAAATGTTGAAAAATGAGAACTTGAACGTAGACTGATAATATTTAAAATAATATAGTACACTCTACAATCCAACAATATCAAAAGGGAATCAAATTTCCCCTCCACACAACTTTCTAGTTTGTTATTTTTCCAGTACATATAATATTTAAATCGTTATAATGCTTTAATTAAGAAAAAAAATATTCGGTATAAGTTTGAATGGAATGTCATTTGTCCATTCGAAAAGTATTTGGGATGAAAATTTTGTTTAAAAGCTGTAATAAATAAAAGGTTAGAAATGAATGATGAAGAAAGCAATGAAAATGACGCATCGTTGAATGAATTTGCGATACACAGGTGGACGTGTCGACGCAGGTGGACTTGCACGAAGGAGCATCGTTGCAACGTGGCGCAACGCCGCTGTACTCGCGCGAGGACATCAAGGAGCAGTACTGCATAACAAATCGGCAGCTGGACGCGGTGGAGAAGTCTGGTGGCGGGATATTCGGTTGCCTTACCAGTCGCGGACCTTCGCCCTGCAGTTCCGCCGCCAAAGCTTCGATCCTGTCTGCCTGCGTGCGCAGCGCTCCCAGCGACGAGAACCTCTGCGACGCACCCTATCCTTATCCCTATCCAAGTCCCCATCCGCTCGCTCCACGCGCTCATCCCAGACAAATGCCGCCGCTCATCATGTACCAGCAGCCTTACTCCACCTACCCCAGGCACATGTCGGCCAGGTACCCGTCAGCCCCGTACCCTCATCCCTTCGACGTACAGGACGACGAAGATTGGCACGAGTCTTCCTTCTTCCGCAGGCGGCCCAAATCTTTCTACTCCGGGCCAGATCCAAAGAGGTACGTGATCGCAATCTTTGTGCCGCAATTTGTTCGCAATACCGCATGAAGGCCTTTTAAAAGTTCGTTAGTGTTGCATTTTATCGCGAATCGGACGTGAAAGCACTCGACAATCAGTTTAATCCGTGCTAGTTGGCAGAATTACTGTAACGAAGTGGCTTTCGTTGGAATTATTCCATTACGAAAACGTACAATTCGTTAATTGTAGTATAACACACTGAAGCTAGCCAAATTTAATTGTAGTTACGATAGTTAACTCCAGTATTGAAAATAAAACAATTTTCTTTCAATGTATACGAAGTGTACAATGTTCTTCGTGATTCGTATAAAAAATATAATCAAATTTGTATCTATACATATTCTTCAATAATTCAACAATTCAATGAACCATTTACAATTTTATAAATGTCGAGAGAGGAGCAAGTTTGCAGTCAATATTTATAGTTTGCAACATGTACATATTAAACAGCTTATGATCATCTTTATATCATTGAAGTACATCCTTTTTAAGTGTACGAAAGAAAACGTGCCTCTCAACAGCAAAGACTCTTATGTACTCAGCTTTTTAGACTTTGTTCTTCAAAGCACTCTTTAATTCTTTTCAAAAAAAGGTGTACAGTTGCCTTTCTTCAAAATTATTTCTTTCTTAATTTGTTTCTCCCTTTTTAAATGTTAATTTCAATACTTACCTTTTAATATTGAATTGTAATCTTGAACTAAATAATAAATCATCGATCGAGGAGATCAATAAGCGTTAATAATTAACCCACATGGATTTTTAAATACGCGTTTAGAAAACCTGGACGTTCGCTTTTTTTTCGCAGTAATATTTTTACGTCGTAGTCCTTTACGGGTCAAAAACCTGGGATCGTATAGCATCAAATGGCGCGATCGATTTTTTTCTTGAATCTGCTGTAGCACACTTCTTGCTTCGTCTCGTTTGTCGTCTTCCATTCATTACTTATAACTGGCGCGACGGCTGTAGCTACGGTGACGATGAAAATGAAAACGGCTTCTAGTACCAAATGCCCACTATTTCGCTAGCCAATTTTCTTTTATATTGTTTTGTTTCTTTTTTCTTTTCACGAAAACGGAAATTAAATCAATAAAGTTCTACAAGTTATTCCATGTGAAAGATATGTAAACATTTAGTTCATATTTTAAAAATAACGTTTTCAAATTATAAATGACGCATTTTTTTATTTTAGCGTTTATGTATGAAATGCGTTTGAAAATTCGTCTGCTTTCAATTGTTTGAAAAAAAAAAGTTGAAAATCAAATACCTTTAACTGTTTTTCCAGTTAATCGAAGGTTAACCGGAAGAAGCAATATTTAGTTTTATACATAAGATAACACAATAATCAGATAGAATGCTTAAACGTAAATAATATAATTACCCTGCGAGATTCGCGAACAAGCATTGATTCTGCATACAAATACGAGTTGTACATTGGCGTTTATGTGCTATCGACACGTAGAATGCAGAGAAATACACGCGAAGAGTTTTATATCGACTATTCATGAAACACCCAACTGGTCAGTACACGCATTAATGAGCGCGTGCAAGGACTGCAATAACAGCACGAGCTCCGGGAGCTTTTCAACCTCGCGCTATACCGATTGTTCGGACAATGCTGTCCTACATTTGAGTCGATTATGGCGCAGGTTTTGTTACACGAGTGTATCGGCTAAAATGTTCCTTCTTTTTCTAAACCTCGGTTACCTAGATTTCTTTTATCTAGGTAAATGAGGCTCTTCAAAAAGTTTTTTTATTTTAATTGTTCATAGAGCATTTATATTCAAACTAAATATTATGACTTACTGTCCAACGTAGAATCAATTTTCTTCACTTCGCGTCGACTATGGGCTACCGACTGAAACATTGAGCTCATCGACTGTACCTATTTCGACGTTAGTTCTGTCAGTCTATACGTACTTCATTTTAATATTGTGTGCGACTGTTTAACTGTAATTTTCAAGTCAATAAATATGAAAATTTTTCTCAATCTCGTTTCGCGAATATATGCAAAAAACTGATGTGCACGCATACAAATCAGCGGATATCAGAGCTCTTAATTGTAGAGCTATATGAATATAAAATGAAATATGCATAACTTTAATAAAATCATCATATTACGCTTTCATGTCCGAAGTCGACATAAATTGTATTTTTCGAGTTTTTAAAGGCCTATTTCAGAGGTTAAACGTATTCTCTCGTGAGTTGAACAAAATAATTATCGTAGCGTCGTATTGGCGGATACTGCAGGTACGTGTGGGTACCAGAGGACGAGGAGCCAACAAAGTTAGAAGGGCCTCGATCGGTGCTGCCCCCGTCGATGCAGCAGCAGCAACCGCTAATTTCGGCGTTGCACTCGCAGCAGAAACAGCAGCAGCAGTCGCAGCAGCAACCACCGCTAACGAAAGGCAAGCACGTGAGCTTCGCGAGGTCGCAAACGCTGACCTCGTTCGACATGCCGCGCACAAAGAGTCCACCGCGACCGCACAATCAGGAACGGCTGATAGACTCGCAGCCGACCGTGCACACCTCCATGGCCTCGACCTTGAGCAAAACGCATCCTGCCTACCCACCGCCGGAGCCTCGTATCGTCGTACTCGGTCAGTATCAACACATTCAAAGCTTACATCCTATGGCTCCTTTATCTACCTACGCGTTTTTTTCTTGCTCATTCAGCGTTAAGCTCCTTTTTTACCGTCCATCTCATATCTCTATAATGATTTATTATTAAATCGATAGGGTTGCAATGATTCCGCGATTAAATCCTTCGATAAAATCTTGTACTATACAAGACGAATCGATTATTTTATTTAGAATGTATTGAACACAAATTCCGAATTTAATGTTTAATTCTGATATCCGTTGAAACAAAATAAGGCATTCCACTGATATATTCATGTCAAGTAGAACAAGTCTTGATACGATCAGACGTATAATGCGATGAAAGTTTTGGGGAAAATTGCAACGTTACTGAACGGTGTTATTTGTCATACTATACAGAACAAGATTATTTTTGACATTGACAAAACTAAGCTTTTAAAGTAGAATAAATCTTGATATAATCAGACATGCAATAATACTATCTAAGAGATCAGGACAATGGTACAGCTTTCTCCAATAATAATAATATATATTATTATAGCATTACAAATTATATCGAAAAATTGTATTTTATATTGAATTTAACGAAAATCCAAACCAGAGAAACAGCCAAAACGCGGAACGATGAAGGCTCAAGCGACACAGACGGAACTGCCAGCGGGTATTCGAGGCCGTCTGCCACCAGTAACGCTAAGTCCACGCACAATTCACCGAGTGAAGATGGTGTCGCAAGGCGCTCAAACGAATGGCATGCTGAATGGTCGAAAGCTTCACAAGAGCTACTCGGAGGCTGGCAAGCTAAGTACACCACACGGCATTGGATCTGTGAAGGAGGAGCCAGCCGAACACGAACCGTTGCAACGCACACAAAGCGAGGAGCCACCGCGCTCGCCCTTCATTCTTGATACTCCGCCGCGCTCCCCTACCGTCGCTAAGGACGAACTGCTTAACGGGGATTTAGCGCAGGAGGTAATTTCTTTCACTTGTCTTCGCATCTGTATAAAATTCTTATTATATTTCGCTCGTTAAAAAATAGCTGAGCTTATCGGCTTGAAGATTTTCCATTTGTTGCGATGACACTTTCAATTTACAAATAATTGCGGCTGTTGAGTAGCCGCTTTTCAAGCTTGACAGCCTCAAAAAGTGACAGAAAGCTCCGTTGGAAATTTTTGATACTCGTCGGTTTATACAAATTGCAGCAATTAAGGAAGAGAAATGTCTGTCATTGAAGCGGACAGTGAAAAATAAAAAAAGCAGTAACAAGGCAGACGGATTCGGAGGAAAAGCGAAGAGATTTGCGATGAAAGAGAACGGATTTGAAATGGAAAATATTTGACGTAATTACAGTTGGCAAATAAGGAATTGGAGTTGGATGACGAGGAGATCCTGATAGATTTCAAGCCGGCGCCGGTGTCGCCGGACGCGCGAGCTCTGCTGGAGGAAATGGCGCAACCTTATCGTCGCTACGTAAGCTTGCAAAAGACCTTGTCCGACGGTGAGATTCAGGTGGAGAGACGGGAATTGATGAGCGAAATCGGCGAGCCCAGTTATCCCCACACATGCCGTAGAAATCATCCGCAGGATCCCTGGAGCAAAAAGCTTCATGCCCCCGTCCAGTTCTCCTCGACGCCCGAGGATCTATCGCTGCTTAGGGTTATCTCGCCTCCTGATGACCATAACGACGAGGTTAGTTTTTACCTTTCTACCGCGTACTACTAAGCTTACTCGCCGTATGTTTTCTTCTATTCGGAGAAAACGCGTAGTTTTGTTTTCTTATCTTTGACTTCACTTTCCTCGTGACTATGTGTGCATTGAAATTCAAATCTGATAATTGAGATGTAAAATTTCTCAATAAAGCATACTCAATGCTGACATTTTTTAGCGGCCTAAAATACCTACCTTCGTCTCAAGTCTTTTGCTATATATTTCAACAAGCTCGATCGACAGTTGTCGCAGTAACGGTAATAATGTCAACGTTTCCCTATTTAGGAGTTCCATGAAAACCTCGTGCGCCGAGGTTTGTTCCGTAAACGAAGCGTGTCCCTCGAGGACGGTGTACAAATTCTTTCAACAAATGAATACATCCTACCAAGGTCTCTTCCTACCTCACCGACGTCACCTACCTCAGCGGCAGGTTCGTATACACTTTTCGCAAAGTCGCGATTCCTTATCATGTCTTATATACGGCAACGCGTTACTACATATTAACACTATTTACCTGATTACGCGAGGGATTATTATCGAACAAGGGGCGGGGGTGCAAAGTTATTCCGCGTAAAGTCTCTCTGCACAGCAAAGTGCGTTTTCTCATCATACACCTCTGAAAATGCGTGCTTAAATAAAGAAAGCTGCTGAACGGGAAATCGACCGATTGTCAGTAGATTTAACAGGTTGGTAGAATTAGCAGCTACGCGCAATCACGGAAAGAGACATAAGATCGTCGATAGGAAAGCAGCGAGACTTTGCTTGAAGCGTCGCCAGCGAGAAGGGCAGAGAGTAGCAGCGTAACGCATGGCCTGGGCAATGCGTAAGAGGTGTTTGCGACTGGTTGTTGGCACAGCTCCATCGCGGATGTCGAGGGAGACACGCGACGGCGGGACGCATCAGCGACACTTGCTGCACGCGGGCTTCGTGGCGCCGTCGCCGTTCGCCTCGAGCGACTCGCTGACGAACGACGCCACGCGCGACCACAGCGACGGCATCTGGAACGAGTCGCAGGCGACCGTCCTGCAGGCCGACGAGCGAACCGGGGGCGCTGGCGGCCTGCTCACGCCCTCGTCCAAGCGTCGCCAGCTGCTCATACTGCAACACCAGCAGCGATCGTCCATGGACACCGACGCGCTCGACGCCGAGGACGAGATGGACGTTTACCCGTCCAGCCCGAGGATCAGGCTCGAGGCGCCCACGCCCGTTACCACAACTCCTACGTGAGTTCCTTTTCTTCTCGCCTCACCCCGTCTCGTCTCGTCCCCTTCTTCCATTTCCTTCCTTTTTCCATTCCAAGCGCGCTGCCTCGCTCGCATGAGCGAGCAAGTGCCGCATCCACTGTCAACGTTATTAAAATTATTCCGCGCGGCTTCGCTGTCGATCGCCGATCGGAAGCGCAGCCGACAAGACAATACTCGCGAATACATTTCTCATGCGCCACGCTTGGCCGCGGCGAAATAAGCGCTGGAGTAATGAATGTTTCGACAGCGCGGAAGCAACGTACTCGATCACAAATGGACGAACGAGGATGGGATACTTGCGACGTAGCCCGTGCCCGGCGGCTTCGTCGCAGCCACACTCGCAGTCCTCGAGCGAATTCGGACTGAGTCGTTCGGGCACGACGGACATTAGCGAGACCTCGACGACTGACGACTATATCACTGCCAACACGTCTACGGGTACAGGGACCACCACGGGCACGGCGACCAGCTCGCTTGGCAGGCCGACAGGCCACATGCACAAGGCCCCCTCCGGGCCCATCTCAGCAACTGCCACCCAGGCGGACGGGAGCTCGTTCGAGAGCGCCAGCTCCGTCTACAGCCTCGCCAGGAGCGAGGTAAGCCGCTGCTCTCGCTTTGCCGTTCTGAACGTGTCGCCCAGTCGTTTTACCAACGCGCCAAGAATCCAGGACAGCCCGTGCATAAAGTAGACCGAATAAAAATAGTATCGCGAGACGAGGACGCGTCTCGTCGTGAGGTATGCGCAAATGCGCCGCGCGCAAAGTGCAGTCTAGGGAAAATCGAGCGCCCGTACAATTGATCCAGGCAGCGTCTCGCGCGCATGTGCGGCTACTCACGCTTTCTTGCATTCATTACGAATCGGATCTTCTGGCAGTGCGCACGTCCGTAGCAACTTGTTCTGCCCGCACTATCCCTTCCACGGCGGAAAGCAAGACCAGCCGTCGCGACTCGCGATCGAGTGTACACGTCCGCGCGGGGATGAATCTGTTGAAAAGCTCAATGCCCCGTCTGAAATCGGCAACCTTCGATCAGGCCGTCCTGGATCACGAGCTGAGCAGCCCCCGCGCGCTCAAATCGAACTCGCCGTACAGCGTTCAGCAGCAGCAGCAGCAGCAGCAGCAACCGTCACCAACTAGATCTTCGAGCAGTAGCAGCTCGGGTAGTTACGACCTCGAGGATGCCATGCCAGATAACGCGCAAGAAACCTTCAAAGCCGCAGCCCACGGAGCGCAAACCGCAACCAACGAGCAAGAAATCTACGTGAGTATATGCACACGGTCGTTAAATTATTCCGCATAGTTGACGTTGATTTTGGCAAAAACCAAATGCACGCTAGTTAGGCTCGTTCGATCATTCCCTCGATAGAAGTATAGAGGCGCATCGCTCGGCTTCTTCCTTCGGGAATGGCACGCGCGCGAGTAGCGCGACCGAGCGAACGAGATGCCGGGAAAAGGTCGCGAACGAATGTGTACGATTCTTTCCACATCAGGACGGGCATCGTTCGTCGTCAGGCGGTTACGCCGAGTCACCGCCCGACCCGCAATTCTGGAACGAAGAGGAGCGCCGGCGCCGGAAGAAGACGTTCACCCTGGACTTTCCAGCTGGACTGGAGCCCACGGACGGCGCCAAGTCGACCGCCGACGCTCCGGCCCACCCAGCCAGCGGCCACGGGGATGCTGCTAGCACCAGCCTGTCTCCGAACCACCGCGAGCGTTACCGCTCTCGGTCCAAAAGCGCCGCCGCGCGCTCGTCGCCCCACCGCAACAGCAAACGACGCTCCTTCGACTCGACGACTCTCGCGCAACAGCAGCAACAGCAGCAGCAACAAATGGCGAGAAGTCCACAGAAGGAGGAATGGCGCGAGCAAGGCGACGAGCAGGCTCACGCGCCGACGAGCGATGACTCGAGCTGTAGCCACCCCAGCTGCAGTCATCATTACCACGTGCATCATCATCATCCACACCATCACGTACATCGCGAGGCTGCCACGGAGTCGAGGCATCGGCGCACCAGGGACAGTCCTCGGCGCAAAAGCGCCGGCCACCTTCCCGCCAGGCGACGGGGCAGTCGAGACGAGGTAGGTGCCCCCCCCAGACACCACTTGCTCACCGACCACCCCGCTTCCCCACTCGCCCCAACAGCACTTGTCGCTTCGTTTGAGACCGCAAATTTGAGTGGCTTGGCTTTCAAACACGCGGCCGTGACGGATGTGGCACAAGCTTGACTTGCTTCTCGCCCCAAAAGTCTCGCGTTTCTTTTTCTTTATTCGTCCGCTGCGAGGCCTAAACTTTTTTGTTTGCTCGATGTCGCCATCATCAGTTGATCGTTCGCAGTGGATAGTTTTTATTCGTAATCTTTTAAAAGCTGAATCACCATTTCGATGACACCGTAGATTTTAGACTCTTTCTGATTGTCATAGAAATGAACTTTTTTCAATTATGAATGGAAAGACATGTGAAATTTTAGTCTCTTTGTTTTTCTGTCATATGCAGTATACCAGCTTATTTTGATTTCTCTTTACTTTTTTGTTAAATTACTTTCTATCTCAAGTCTCATTACATCACTTAGTTTTTTTTTCCTATCATAGATATCTTAAAAATTACTTTAGACTTGACAGTGCAAAACAAACTGAACTTCAACTAAAACAAGATTGTAAACATTCATACATAATTTCTTTCTACAGCATCTGCATCGTCATAATTGTAAAGCTTATCTTTCACACCATCATTTCACATCGGTACATGCTGTTTCTATGTTCATGAAATATCGTAGTTATCTAGCGTGATACACGATCAAATGTACGTAAAACTTTTGATGTACCATAAATTTGTGTTATCGTAAATCGTCCAGTATCGTAACCGTTCATGTGTAAATATATGTCAAGATTGTCATTAAAAAGTTACTTAAAAATTGGCGGCATCAGTGTCTAAACCACATGTGATTAAAAGATAATCTGAAGAAAATGATGGCTTCTTGATGTTAGTGACAAGTAGATGTGTACATCGAAAGCTTCGCATGCGACTATCTAGCCTTTGTCGAGTAGACACAGACACGCACCCAAAGACGGTTGAAAGAATACACATAAGGCCGAAGAACGTGAACAATATTGAATGGAATGCGATGGAGATAGCGTAGGCGTGCGTAGTACACGTAGCAAAGAAGTAGTAGATGAAAAGTTCAAAGGAGTGATGAGGCTGAAATTGACACTCGGCAGGATAAGAACGCGGCGTTAACGGGCAGTCTGCCGCGGCGTCGTTCGCGCGCGGTGGATCACGTGAGTTCGAGCCGACTGAGCCCCGGCGGTGGCGGCGGAGGCGGACGTTACAGCGCGAGTCCGGGCCGCAGTAACGGTGCCCAGTACTCGACTGCGCTGATCAAGTCGCCGAGCCCCGAGGTACGGCTAAAGGCGCTGTCGGCCGAAAGCCTTAGGTCGGTCAGTCCCGGCAGCGACAGCGTTTTCTATGGCATCGACGACTCAACCACGGACCAAGCCCACTGCCACTGTTGCGGACGAGAGGTCTTTTTTCTTTTTCCTTTCTCTCTCTATCTTTCTTCATTATACTTTTCGCCGCCATCTCATCGATCGATCTACGATCTTCTGTCAGAGCTTTACAAATTTTGAAAATACCATTCTTTTTGAGCATTTTCTTTGAATTTATCGATCGTGCAAAAATGTTTTCTGATAATTGAAAAAAGTTTGCGACCCGAGGAAAGTATCCGCGATAAGCCGCTGAATGACATTTGCCCGGAAAACTTGGCATCGTTTTCTTTTCTTCCCAACATAAGAAAACTCATGGCAACTCTGGCGGAACGCTGTTAAAATTTGCATTCAAAACCACTAAGGTTTCGGCAGACATAGTGCAGCCTCCAGCTGGCTTTGCGGATTCACCGGAAGGAGGTCACAGGCAAACATCGAAGCATACTGCGGGCCATAGGCTGTTTAAGAAATTTGATAAGCGCTATCGATCAGAAGATCGCAGTGAACGCCGTTATCATTCGAGCAGCACAGGACGATCAGATTTGAGAGCAAGGTCGGAAGAGAGAGGTGTTGGGACAGGTAGTCGTTATGGAGAGGATTTCAGCAGAGAACGATTTCATACTACACGAAGTACCGATGCTAGCATGGAAATTCTCACAGGCAATTATTATATTTAATATGCTTTCTTTATTTTCTTATTTCGACTCAATATTATGGAAAACTTATATTTCATCGTGCTTCATTTATACTTTTTATGTCCATTCAACTCGCCAAATTATTCTGCATTAAAATGCGATTATCGCAATGGAATTATTCGTAAATCTTAACATAGTACTCAGTTTACTGATTTCGCTAATACAAATATGATGTTATCTGCGTTCAACTTTTCGTTGTTTTCTCAAAAACTCCATAAACTTTTCTCTTATTTTACGAAAATTGGATCAGTTGCTTCAAAACTTTTAACCTTGTAAAGATTTATGTACATGGACCAGATTTTTCCATCACCACGTGTGTATTTTGATTACTTATCTGACTTAGCGTCAAGTCAAGTTGCCTGCGTGCAGGCGCCTAGCTAAACGGGGATGTGCAAATTAATGAAATACTAATTTGTCTTATAAATACATTGTAGTTGATAAACGAATTGTTCATTATCAGGTCGAGAAGACGAAGACGCCTACACAGAGCCGTACACTAGTTACGAATGGCTTTATATAAGTGATTTTGAGGAGAGTTGCGCTTGGAGACGGCCGGACACTGCGGAAGACGACGACGACGAGGAGCGAAGGGGGGCTCAGGAATGCACCGAAAGTGAAAAGAAATTTAAAAAGAAGTATCAAGCTGCCACGCACAGAGTTTATTTACACAATATATATTGGAAAAGTACCGGCGAAATGTTCAAAAGAGTGCAGAGCAAAGCCTTTAGTAAGTTTTTTCTCCGATATGCAACTTCATTCTCTTTCAAATTTCCGAGTTTGGAATTTTATATTTTCAAAGCCGGATTTTCAAAAATTCAGTTTTAATTAGACTGCCGTTTCTCGTCTGTGTTATCTGAATATGTGCTGGCACGCATTCATGTCGAGCCAACTTTACTTGATTTTGAAAATAGGTTTATATTCAAAATAAAGTAGAACAATTATTCCTGGAAGACAAATTTTTGACGTTCATCAGAACGTTTAGTCTGAAGATTATTCAAATCGTACTTCCGATTGCGACACGCTCGACCAAATGTCACTTTTGTCGATGAACACATCGAAGAAATGACAGGAAAATGGGGACGTGATCTTGCATTTTCCTTTATCTTTTATTTTGCGCTTCCTTTCGTCCGGATAAAACTGCTTTCAGATATAAGCATATTCAAAAGATTGATGGCTTAGATCATCTATCCAGGAGCCCTCGGGAAAGATTAATTTAGCAATTGTGATTTATGACACCAATCACTTACGATAATAAAATAACTTTGTTGCCTGCATTACGTTATCATAGCAGCCATGGTGATAATCATCTTTCGAAGCTTAACTGGTGATTATCGAATTATCACCAAATAGGACAATTCTGTGAAAGATCTAGGCACGTTGCTTATTTAATTGATGAAAATCAATGATAGTAAATTGAAACTCACAAGAAATTCTTACAAAGCTGGAGATACGTTTGCGCATCACACGTGCAATAGCTATTTTCGGCACTCAGTTTCTCGCGCACATATATAGAAATTCTAAATCAGTTAGTGTTCAGTACACATTCATGATCGAGCAGTGGAGAAGCAAGCAAAAAATAGACGAAATTAATTTCAATTGCCGCAGGTCGCGTTTTAAAATTAGTTTGAGAAGTTTCGTCGCTAGAAGCGTCGTTTGCGTAAAAAGAGACGCGGCAAAAGCGATTAGTGCGACGCGACGCGATGCGGATGGGAGTACGCGGTACACGTTACCGCGGCTACCCAAATAAGTTCTCGTGCAATGGTCTGCGTATTGCGTAGGCCTAAATATAATCGGCGAGTCGCGACTGGTACGTCGCGACTCAAGCGCCTCGTAGTAGGTGGCTGACGCTTTTGTCTTGCCATCGGCATTCGCGAGTATTCGGCCGACGCCAAGCAGTCACTGGGTCAGGAGGAGAGAGATCGGGTGCGCGCGTGTCTTGGCCAAAATCGACTGCCGTGCGCGTTTGTTTATTTTCTCTCGGGTCCCCTCGCCAAGTGTAATAATGGTGTGCGACTCCGCGGGCGGTGAATGTCCGCTAAAGATCGAAAAGCCTTGCCAGGAGGAAGCCAGCGGCACACTCAAGTCGTCCCTGGAGCAACTTCTTAAGTCGATGCTGAGAGTCTGGGTTACGGAAAGGCAAGCGCTTACGAGGCTCGGCGTTCTCAAACCCTCTGGTATTTGCCTTCTCGTGCTTTCTATTTTTGAAATGCAAAGCGACCGAAAGAAAAAGAAATTGTTTGCATCGCGCCTTTCCGCTCTGTGCTTTTCCATTTTCTAAAGTAATTTTTCGTGTTTGCCGCGGTGCAAATAAAACTTGTTTAATTTTATTTCCAAAGAGAATATCAATTTCATGAGATTGACATGGAATTAACTTTTCAAAATTTTTTAGTCAACTGTAAGTTTATTACTTAATTGTCAGTAAGAGTTAAAAGTATACCAAACGTATAAAAGGAAAACAGATCTTACTGAACTTTGCCGATTTGCGAGAAAATCACTCACACGATTGTTGATCGAAAGCTTCTTTGAATCGACCTACATCGACCTACATAACGAGATCGAGTCAGCTCATAGACACTTGATACATAAATTCGCAAACACTTGGCCTTGTTTCTTTTCCTTGTTTTCCGGAAAGCTCAACAATCGATGATAGATGCTCGATTCCTAATGGCCCCTCAGCGTGCGACTTTCGAGTCATAGCAGCGTTATTTGCCAGTGTCTTCGGTTGAAGTGTCTGGGACAAAGTTCGAAAATAGCATTATGTCGACAAAATTTTTTTTCACGCACTCGATCGTGCCTTGCCTTCCTCCCTCTCCCTCAGAATTTCAACGTGAGTGGAGAGGCAATGAACGCTAAAAAGGCGAGCTCGTCGCTGATTTATACAGAGTTCAATAGCGCGTACAGCACTAGCAGCACTGACACGCTCAATTTATTTAGCTTAGAGCAGAAGCTCTGGCTGCTGATCAAAGGCTAGAAATGATTGTTGACGCGGCGCGCTTTAGAGAAAGAAAGCGAGCGAGGCAAAGAGTACATAGTGGAAATCAATGGAACGTCGCAATACAACCGACGCACTCATCGTGGCGGCTGTACGACCGAGAGAGCGCACAAAGATCAATAACGCAGCAGCAGCAGCAGCAGCAGCAGTGAGTTGCCGTGGATAAGAGATAGACCGGACGGGAGATAGATAGGTAGAGAGAGAGAGAGAGAGAGGGAGCGAGATTCCAATCTGCCAGGCAATTTTCGAGGAGCCGCGCCGCGCGCGTCGACATGTGCTGCGCTAATGCGACAGACGGAATGCACACGGAAAATCAATGAAAGTCAATTCCGGCTAATCAGCCGGCGCGCGCGCTCCGCGGGCAATCGGCGTGTCGGCGAGTGATCGTCGCGCGCCAATTTCGGAGCGAGGCGCAACCGCGTTCTCGCGCGCCCTTCAATTATTCCGATTATTTATCTGGCAGCGGGCTCAATTGGCGCGCGGCATTGGGAGCCAAGAAAACCGCGCGATTGCCACCTGACCCCCTGACCGAATCGCTATAACTCACCTCTGGGCGAAGCGACCGCGAGTGGATTCTTCGGATGTCTCTCGGGCTCGCTGCTGCAAACTTGGACTTGCTTCATTGGCGAGACCTTGAGCAAACTCCACTTTTCTGTATCTGCGCGCTCTTCTCGTACCGTTGCGTCAGCAAAATTTTCGCGCCTCTGTATTCTCGAAGTATAATGCTTGGAAGGAGAAAAACTAATGTCGTTTATCATCGAGTATCGAGAATAGTTGAGTGTATTGCGCTGGATTACAATTTGTGAAAATAAAAAATCCGGTTGCTTTACAATAAAAGAAAGTTTACGAGTTAGTGGACCTTGAGATACAAATCCCAATTTATTTTATAGATCTCTCGTCAAGTAATTGGCCAATTTGTCTGGGTTCACAATTGTTTCGATTCCGAACAAGATGTTCGCATGCCCATACGTTCTAGACTGCCTGATCCTACTCTCTCTGTACACGATCAAGACTTGATAGTTTTGCTCATTTGGTTCATTCTACGATTCGTTGAAACAAATTTTTAATAGAAAATATCATTCACTTTGTCGATCCAAATGCGATGCTAGACAGCATTGGAAGTATAATACCGGAAATCTATTATTATCGCTCCCTTAGAATGCTCAGTTAGCTAATAAAATATATCTTCTAGGGTACTAGGCCTTTCCGCATCGTAAAAATCATGCAGAAAGTAAACTCTGTTGTCATTTGATGTCATCGAAACTCATAAATGTAACCGTATTATGCCATCATCGAGTTGAACGTTTCTTACATTATGTTCTCTTCTTCATTTATCAACAGGCTATCAACTATACAAGATCGTGTCGGTTATTGTTGCTTATTATTATATTATATTGCTTATATATTATAGCATTGTTGATTGTTGAAACTGAACATTGTTTTTCAACCACAACACTTTCACGGCTATTACTTGTGGATTCAATTATATCTTATTATATACCAAATGGTATTTGAATGAAAATTGGTGCAAGCAGTTGAGCCGAGTTTAGTTAATCAAAACTTTGTTACTAACGTTTTGTAGACGTATATTTAATATATTTATTTGTCCCGACACTCCTCAATGCCGTCATATTTGAGATCGATGACGTGAGTTTTCTAAATCGCACATCATTGTTCTCGATAACTTCCTAGAATCAATTAAAGAACGTAAGCTAAATTTGTCAAACAAAACAAAGTGATATGATTAAATAATTAATTTTATTATTTACCATGTCGACGTCAAATACATATGCGCGTATACATCAAGTAATTTATTGAATAATACGGACTACTTTGTGTTCTGAAATTACTGTTCCTTCATCAAATTCGTATTTTGATTTAGTGCCAAGAAGTTCTTACATTTCGTATACTAGTTTGGAAAGCCTTTTCAACTGTTGTAAAAAATACCGTACATGCAAAAAGTTTTAATTTTAAGAAATTTTTGGCGGGAAAAAAATCGGCTCGCATTCTGGAATAACACAAAAATGGTAAATACTTCGAAAAAATGTTAACAGTTACGATAAAAATCAGCAAGTGAAGTGAAGTTGATTGAAGCACTATAGGTGTAAGAGAAAGCCTCTCATCGGCAACTTTGCCGAGTACATGTAGACACACAATGTTGCCAAGAGTGTCAGCTGAAGTAGCATCTAGTAAGAGTTTGCCGAACGCGAGATGCTGAAGCGAGCTCGTTAATACTTTGCAGAGAGCGACAAGAAGGTGGTGGTGAGACGAAAGGCCGGTGGCGAGTTTGGCTTTCGCATTCACGGCTCGAAGCCGGTAATGATATCGGCCATCGAACCCGACACCCCAGCCGAGAACTCGGGCGTGGGCGTGGGCGACATCGTGGTGTCGGTTAACGGTAAGAGCGTCCTCGAAGCAGTGCATTCGGAGGTGGTGCGACTCGCTCAATCGAACCCCGACGAGCTCGAGCTCGAGGTCGCAAGTACGAGCAACGTGGTGGCGCCGCACCTGGGCAGAGATGGACCGCCCGAGACCAAGCAGGAGCCGGCCCTCTACTCCGGCTACCTCTGGAGAAAGTCCATGTCCACCTCGGCCCGAGACAAGTGGATGCGTCGCTGGTTCGCCCTACGTCGAAACAACTGCCTTTATTTCTACAAGACTGATATGGTACTGCTTGTCGCTTACCTATTCCTTATAATTCTTTGCATGCGCGTGCGATCAGCTAACGGTCATTCAAAAAAATCATCCCTGCTAGTTAGTCCATGCATGGGACTAACATAATCAAGATTATCCGACCATATGCACTAAAATTACCATTCACAATAGAATGTATTTTAGCGAGGAGGATTTGCGCTCGGGAGATCATTGAATTATTTAGCTCCGTCGGTGAACGGCGTCAACGCATTTACTAAAAGCCCGTGCAAGCTGGTCAAATAGCGTAATATCCATTTCACAGGACTCGCAACCAGTGGGGGCGGTAATGCTACTGAAATATGTCGTGGAACTGACTCACGAATCACGAGCGCACAGTTTCGCCATCAGCAAGTATGGCGCACCGACTCTGCATCTTGCGGCTGACACAGACGAGTTGGCGGCTCGATGGTGCTCGGTCATCCGAGAGGCCGTCGAAAGGAATAATCAGGTAATATTACAATAATATTACAAATCCCTAAAAAAAACATTTATCTTGTCTTTCGCGGTATGAATTCATTGTGACACAACCAGGTCAGAGTTGTATGCGTACAATCGATATTAATTATTTATTCGTTGTAGTGTCGTTACACATATGCCTGATCATTTATGCAATAGAAAACCTGAGATACATTCTCGCTTTCTCTCAGTTACTTCTTAATAGGAGAGTGTAATATCTTGACGACTGAATAAGTGAATTGTGCGCGCGATTCCACGTTAGGTGAAACTGATAAATAAAACATTCAAAGTGCACTTGAATTACATTTGCAACGCACACGGTTTTTTTCGACAGAATAGTTATTTCAAATTTAATAATAATTCTTCCAATTTCGTTACAACTTTAAGTGAATATGGGTCAAAACTGCAATTGAAAAATCATCGTTACAACGCAAATAAAACAGTTTTCGTAATGAAAAACGAGAAAATGTTTGTTAAAGGCACGAGGTTGAGTGGAAATAGTTTGAATGAATAAAAATGTTTGAAATCTTATAGTTTTTTGATAATTGATCAAAATATAAAAATACAAAAGTTGTTAAATAAATGAATAACAAAACTAAAATAGCTGTCATGAAAAAACTTGCTATATTACAAATATTCATACTCACAATGAGAATTATTAACAATTACCGAAACGAATTGAAGAAAAAAGCGTAAACAAAATAGAAATAGAAATTAATTAAAAATTAATAAATAATCAGAAAAAAATACGACATGCCTTTTCAGAGTACGAACGCACATTGAACTTATCCGCGCTACACACAGCAGCTGGACCTTACCGTCACCGCTTTACACTTTACACCGGTCGCTACAGCGACGTCGGTTCTTGATCGCGCGCCTAGCTTATTCGCACTTTCGATCTTCAATCTCTGCCCTTTCACCTACTCGGTTTACCCGCCAACGCATCGGTCCAGAGCTAGTTTGTCCATGGAAACGACGAGTAAGCCGGCAATGCCCGGAAGCCATGTGCTTGCTCGTGGAGTCTAACGGCCTTCGTAAACCACGTGCTTCACAAAGTTGCAGGGTGGCCATTACGAGAACGACACGCATACACGGTCGTCTACGTTCATGGGTCACGCTGGTGGCCACCGCTGTTTTTCACGCGTTTTATCATCGCATATATGCTTCTAATACAGTCGCTACAGATATACAGCTGTGTGAGCTTCCATGTATCTCGTGCGTACATTTTTCACACTATGCAATGTTCATATTGTGCGAGCGCCGTTATACTCCGTTAATTTAATTAATTCGCCCTGACACGGTTCGACCTTAAGTTTAATTCGCAGAAATACATATGATTCTTACAGTTGATTTCTTAACAACTAAATACTCTAAATTAATAATAGAGGAAAGTCGACAACCAGCAAACCCAGAAAGTGGCTGCATTACTACTTTTTGCTGGGTGAATTTGTATAGCAGAGAGTGATTACTGAAAGGTTGTTAATTTGAAGAAAATAACTATTGCACTATGCATCGTGTGGCTTGAAATGTCCTAGTAAGAGACTTTGTTTTGCGAACTAGTTCGAATCTCAAGCAAATCCATTCGACGCGATACTAATCGTCATGAAGCGTTAGGTGTATCTTGGTCGAGAATGCACTGTGATATTTTCGATAATGCATTGATACGACGATGCCAAGTTAACGACTTTTAAACTGTCTTTCCAATGAAGCCGAAGTCCGATCTTGTAAGATAGAAAAACGACGAAAATACTGAGAGCTAAACGAGGGCACTCAGTAAGGGACAAGTGTGTCTTTGCTCGGCACTGCGACCGCTTTGATGATTTTATTACTTTGGTTTTCCAGTCGCTCTGATTTCTTTCTTTGTGCCTCGAACGTTCAAACGTAACTTTTTGCATTAATTTCTAAATTTTTTATTACTTAAAATACAAAAGGAATATAAAATTTGAACCGCATTAAACTGCTTGCAATGGAGAAGAAAAAAAAGACGAGGTACAGATCGAAACTAACGAGCGCCGGGTACATCGCTATCTTTAAAATTATGTCGATGTCAGGCGATCGAGCAACCAGAGATACGAGGTAGCGCGAGATGGTTGCCAGAATCAAGGCGTAGACTGCCGAACTTAGACGATCTGGTTAAAGATTAGGTGCCGTGTGATTTGTTCCCAGGCGGATACGTGGTTAGAAGGTTCGCTGAGGCTGCAAAATTTACCGGCGAATGTGATCCAACGGCCGCACTGCTACGGCTACTTGAGTAAGCAGCACGAGCGAGCGCGTCGAGCTTCGTCACCGACGGGATGGTCAAGGCGTTACTGCGTGCTGAGGGATGCTGTCATGTATTTCTACGAGGATGCGGGTTCCGAAAGAGCTTTCGGCGTCGCTTGCTTGCAAGGCTACCGAGTGCTTAATAGTGCCTCTAGCTCTGGTGGTAGGAAACACGCTTTCGAACTGCAGCCGCCCGATCCCACGCAACGAACTTACACCTTCGCTTGCGATTCCGAGATGGATAAGAAACGGTAAGACTTCGATAACTGTAAGTCATATGGCGGCTTGTTTTCCGAATAAACATAGAAAAGGAAAACGTATGACGTTATTTATACACCTCTGTTCTTGACTCTCTCTCTCTCTCTCTCTGTTGTTAAAAAAAAAACATGCACTCTATAAAAGAAGAAAATGCTGAAAGAAGAACAGCATTGAAACTGGCATAAACCTTGCAGTGGTTATAAATAATAAATTTTATTTGTAGATGGCTGGCAGCGCTGGAATATTCGATCGATAGATGGATAAAAATAGGTTGACAGTAGTGCGAAGTCGCGACCGCCGTTACCTGCAGCACCAGAAGCCGGAGTCAACTGAGGAAGAAAGGGATTGCACGGTACACCGTTTGAGCCACATCATTTTATTACCATTTTCGTTAAATCAGACACACACTTGATTTTATTAATTCGCACACAGCCCAAGCATTCACATCACACTCCAGATCCGACATCCGCGTGCGCTGTCCCTCGCCATTATAATATCACACTTAATACGACGACGAATATTAGCCGGTAAATTTTAACGTTGATATCGAATCGTGAAGTTATGACGTTATTACACCAACGTTTGCCTCTTTTAATAGTAACAATACGTAAACAATCGAAAACACGACTTTCCTAGGTTGTATTATTTGTGTATTACTACTGTATTACATGTTTCGAAATATCGATAATATTTACGACTGACACCTTACTTACTGGACAAGTATCGCGGATAACAATTTGTAATCATCTTATATGATACAATGTATTTATAACTTGGATATATAAGGTTTTTAGTTATGTTTGATAATAAAAATTTATACTATACGTTACAAACGAAACCAAAAATCGACAAATGCTATATGTGTACGCGGTGGAGTTAAAATATTATGAATTATTCAAACAGAAAAAAAATATACGAATGTAAAGTTTATATACCTGTACATTGATTTTAGGTTTGTAATTCATTAATAATTTATAATGACTATTACGGAAAAATGGTGCATAAATACACAAATTTATATGTAATGTAAAAATACAATATTATATATATATATATATATATATATATATACATATATATAATATAAACATTGTATAGAGATCCGTGAGCATACAGATGCAAATGGATATTTTGTTGAGATGAATGAGTGAATATTCACTGCGACTGAAGTATAAAAAAAATCACTTGAAGAAATTCTTATTGTTATAAAAATAAGAGAAATAAGAACTTGATACGGTAACAAGTGTCATATTATAAAAAAATAGGTCCAGTGTGTATGAATAGTCTAAAGAGTGAAGATTAAAATGAGAGTATGTAGTAGGTGTTAATTGTTATAGAAAAAAACAAAGTACGAATGTATAAGAAGGTAACGATTTAAAAGTTTATATACCTCGCGCGTAAGCCTTGACAAAACCAAAATGAGGCTGCATTTAAAAATAATGTTTATAAACTAAATCCACACACACACACATACACACACATACATGTGTATGTGCGTGTGTGAGACAGGGAAAATATACAAATGAGTAATGTTTTAATTGAGGAGGAAATTCAAAATTGTTTATTATGAAACAACATGAATACATGTATGTAAATGAGTTAATAGTTGGATCAGCTTTGATTACAATTTGTTGTGCCATAAGCGATCAACGATGCGTTATTTTTATGCGTTCGGTCATCGTGGTAATACCACATACATAAGGAAATTGATTAAATAATTCTAAAAGATAAAATGAAACTTATAAAAATGAAAATAAGGAAACAATTAATTCACCCACGCAATAAACTAAGATGATAATAAAGACTTTAATACAAATAATTTAATGGCTCAATGCCACCTTTTTAAAACCCAGTCTTCTATTTTATTTTATATATGTATATGTACATATCTGTGTATATAAATTTCACAAAATTATTTTCATATGCACATAATTTTTGCACGTTGCTTTTTAATGAAAAGTAAACGAGTATTTATTAATTGAATAATATAAATTATATGTTGCTTATGTATTATTTGGCAAAAAATGTGTTACTTTTAGATTAATTTCTCACCCGATGCTGCTCTCTTTTATCAAAAAGATCCTACAACTTTACATATATAATTTGAAACAACGAATGAAGAAACATACTTTACACATTTTGTAAATATTTTATAAATTTTATTAATGCACTAGAATAGAAATTAAGCTTCAAAAGATTATTGTGGCAGTTTCATTCTGTGTAATAATACTCTTAAGCTCTTATATATACATATAAATGCTTCACACACACGCACGCGCGAGCGCGTGCGCACGCACACACACCACACACACAGAGGAAGCATTTCTATTTCTCAATCTTTTAGCAATAACTTAACATATGCCTAATGGTAAATAAGGAAACTGCATGTGTCGTAGAAAAGAATTTATCATCGTTTAAGTAATATAGTAAGTACAAGTGCATATGTATTTTATTAGTTCAAACATGGAACCAATTTCATAATAAAAAATGTGTTAAGATTCTTATTTACTCAAATCAATTGAAGAATGCTTCATTGAGTATGTGGTGACAGAAACTAAAAATTAAAATATAGTTTTGAAATACGTTTATTGTTGAGCTCAAGTATACTTCTTCAAAAGGCAGCTTCACAGTTTTATGAGTAATAGAATAATATCGTTAGCATGCTTGTCGTCAATATCATTCGAACTACAGTAATTTTTAAAGTTTAGAAGTGAGATATTGTCGTAGAAACGTGGGCGTAAAAATGTTTGATGGATGTAACTTCTGTATTACTCCACAGTAGATATAATTAAAAGATGTTTACATATAAACACGTAGCATTATGTATGTTTCGAATGGATGAATTCAAGAAATCATATCGCATGTTATAATGCTTAATATTAAGAATTTAATTTTTGGCACAAAATGCTTATAGTATGTAAAGTCAGCTATTATGAAAATTCCTTTGCATTCATAACTTTGCGACAATTTTATGTTTACAATAATTACAACTAGAATATTTCTGAACATCTCAAAGCTTTTTTGTAGTAATGATCAATTTATTAAATTAATACCTTTGTAGAAAATAGTTTGGATTTCCGTTTTATTTCTTTTATTTTTGATCGTTATAGTAGATGTTCCAATTATTTTATAATAGTTTTCATATTATTGTATAACTGATCTACTTAATTTATGCATAGATCAATAAAATTAATGTCTCCATTCTGACTATGTAACTATTTGCAGAATCAAGGACAAAACATATACCATATGTTACTCTGTCGATTTCGTCAATTTTCGATTTTGATTATTTTTTAAGACTGTTTTTTTCAATTAATTATTTCTATATTATTTTTAAAATTGACAAGCAATGAAAACATAAAATTGTTAACCATAAAGAACATAATTTTATTCTACTGAATGTTTAATCATAAAAACTGCAACAAAATAATTTGACTTTAAATTACTTCATTAATCGGCTGAATACATCGCACATAAAAATGATTGAGGCTATAATATACTGTGGGAAAAATATTTAACACCACTTTTATATCAATATGACTATACAATGCTCAAAAAGTAGTTTTTCAATTTTGTACGTTTTCGTTTTCAAAAAATTATTTATACAAAATATATCATTTATTTTCATGATTTCAACGTAATATCTATGGGCGGTTTCGTGGTACTTGGAATTTAGTATTATGTAGTTTTTTATAAAATCAACACTATTGTTATATTCAATACTTTAATAGCGATGAAAATGTTTCTTTGTTTTTTTCTTTTAAATTATTTCGTTAAAAAAAGTTTTCATAAAATTTACATTAATTTTGATTTGTTACTACTTCACACATTCATTAGAACAATAAATACTGTAGTATTTTTGTAAAGATTCTAAAAAAAGTATGCATCAATTTGACCTCGATAGCATGTATATTTTCCAAATGTGACGTGTTTTTTGATCTATTTCTGCTTTTTTTTAAAGTGAAACAAAAGATAGCAATCTACGAAATAGTGATGAAAATTTTTCGCGAGTGTAAAGAATGTATCATTAAATAAATGATCATAAAATTTTTTGGACCTGTATATTCTGATCCTTGACCGATCATTTACTTGGAATTAAATAATTTCAATCAATATACAGTCAAACAAAATATGTTATTCCTAGAGTGTACACGAGTAAGTACTGTACAGGCCATAATGAACATGTTAATTTATTAATGGAGAATTTTTTATCCAACTTTAAAACGCAAACATTGCGTACAAGGTATTGCAAAATGAAGTGATTCATTTTAGTTAACGAGAAGTCAATTTGATAATTTCAACATAAATAATTATTATTTATTTTCTAATAGCAGCGTTATTTTTTAATATCTCTATAGTTTTCACATTAGAAAACTTTATTTAGTGATAGTACAAGACGAGACACATTTTAGAAATTATTTTTAGAGAAATCTGTTGACATGCTTATTTAACAATGAATCATTAGATATTATTTTAAAGAGGAAGATATAACGATAATAAAGTTAAAAAAAAATTGCTGCATATAATGTGCATACTTCGAAAGTAAATGAGTTTTTAGTAAAGCATCGGTGGTGTGTGCGAAATTCGCAGAGATGCCCGAGGTATACATGAAAGACGAGTCTTTGCAATTTAAATTACAGCCCAGAACGCATCGAGGCCCGGGACCAGAGTATATGCGTTATTAGAGCTAGCGGCGCAACCTAATTATGCAAAATCCTCTTGAGTCTGGAACGCTCGCGCTCGCCAATCACAAGCAAAGGGGTATTATCTGAACAAAACTGACTCTGCTTAATGACTTTTTTGCGAAATTTCGAACATGACATATTACTGCTTTTAGCTGAAACCACTTCTTTCGGTGTGGCTACAATAGTACAATTTTAAATATCAAAGGGATTCCGAAAGAAGGAAATAATAAATTTCGTGTGAAATATTTATGTAAATGCTTTTACAGATGCTACCAGAAATACATTAGCCTTGTGAAAGTCTATGAACTTTTTAAATTTATTTAGAACTGTTTAAACATGTCGATGAAAAGGTTGATCAGTTACGAGTACAGTATATCTGGTACATGTCGATGAAAAGGTTGATCAGTTACGAGTACAGTATATCTGGTACATGTATACAACTATAAATGATGACTCTTCTCTATTGTGCCATCGAGCCATCAAAACCGTTAGAATATATCTTTTATTTTTTAATGAACTGCATAAGTTCAGTTTTAATGATGATTTTGTATTTTTTGGTGTAGCGCGAATATTTGAAGCGTATATACACATTCTTTGTAACGTTTATTGGATCATCGAATGGAGCGAAAATAGTCGTATGGATGCATCTATAAAGAAAGGATGAGTATAGGTGCAAGAGAGCAATGTGCGTAAGTATGAAGATCGGCGAATTGGCAAGGTAACTCGCGCGGAGCGAGAGAGCAAGAGCCGCTCGGCATATTCTCATAAATGGCTGGGTATCTAATCTAAAACGTCCAATGAATCGATGCTGTATACAGATCTATACCTGTACGTGAGCGGCAACGAGTGAGCGAGCGATGGTTGAAGAAGTGCGTGGATACATACATAGCCATACATATACACACACACACACATACACACACATACGTTGAATCGGAGGAGGGTATCCGTTTTGATAGAAGATAAAAGCGCGAGTGCAGCGGGCAGCGATGGTATGTTCTCATTACGCGCCGTGCCGGCATGCGGCGGCTGCGGCAGCAGCAGCGAAGGACCCGAGCCAGCAAGCGAGCAGAGAGAAAGAGAGAGAGAGAGAGAGAGAGCGAGAGAGAGAGAGAGAGAGAGAGAGAGAGAGAGAGCAAGCAAGGGGCACGGGCTGCGGGAACTAGTTCAGTGAACAAAACGACTCGAGACTTGGCTCCGGAGAGCCTCGAGGTGCCTGCGCTCTCTGCTTGCCAACCAGCCATCGGACGAGACTTTGCTCTCTCGCTTGCTCTTGAAAGCCACCACCACGCTCTAAATTATTCCTTGCAGGTCTTTATGTCCTCTCTCTCTCTCTCTCGCATTTGCTTCTTCTGTTGCTTCTTCTTCTGCCTTTGGCTTGAATCTCAAGGTATCGCTCTTTTTCATCTAGCTGCCTCATGAGTTTTTTCTCTCTCGATTTTTTCTCTTTATTTATCTCACTTTTCTTTCTTATTTGAACATCCATTTTCTTTCCCAGTGATTTTTTCCGGGCAACTATTCCATGCCATAATAGCCGTTTGTTTACTGTTACCTCAATGTTTATAGAAAGATAAAGCCAACTACGGCCACGTGAATACATTTATTACAAATGTTTCAATTCAGAAGCTGTCTACATTTCTTCCGAACGAATTTAAGACGCGGTGAATATTTCTGAAGTGGCGGCATCGAATTCGTGTAGTTCAGTGACTATAACTAAAAATTTATTGTCGCTGGATACTTTAAATATAGCTTTTACTCATTGAAACAATGTACAGCTCTGTACAGTTTAATTGGTGGATTAATTTTTGTTTTCGACACTCGGGTGCGCAAAATGCAACTTTCCCGCAGATTTGGCCAGAAACGTACGCTCAAAATCGAACATCATTATGCGCTGCAAAGAAAAAATACTTACTATTTTCTACTCAATGGTATAGGCACGTACAAATCTCGCATAGAACAGTTATGCTTACCTTAATGAAAGTGTTGGCTTCTCACTGTTCATAATTGTAAGCTTAATTAGATTTATTTACCGCAAGTTGGAATTGTAGATACATTAGGTGTGCATTAGGCGTAACATTAGGAATCTACGATAACAAGTTCCGCACTTGTTAATCAACATTTTTCTTGGCAATTATGAAATTTATATTGTTTTTCAAAACAATTAATTATTATATCATTAACCGAGAATTCGAACAGTAGTTATTAGAAAACCCTTTCATTGATTGATCGCTGATTGACAAAAAAAAAACAATCTCACGCTCCCATTGAGTTTTTACCGAAGTCCCATCGAAGAAATGACTCGGTTAATTTTCTTAGCTGAGAATGCTCCAAGGTCTCTTTTCTTCGATAGGACTCGGCATGCCTCTTACCGTTAAGTCTGGTCGCGTGATGTGACCAGCATTTGATCTAAGCGGCAAAGAGAAATACTTGGAGATGGTACCATCTACCCGTACATGCATTTTTCATGTGGCTTTCGAAGAAATGCTTAAAATTTTCTGAGAAGCCATTGCGTCCGTTTTGCGTAACGAGGAGTTCAGTATCTTAATAGAGACTCGTTTGAGCGGAAGATTTAAAAAATTTTTAATTGGCTGATTCACTCGAGACAATAAATCCACGGTGTGAAACTGATGTAAGAGGCCACTCTAGAGATAAGTCTAAATTAAGCATATCAGCTGAGACAGGGAAAGAGGAGGAGGCGCGAGAAAAAAATTGCACGTAATTCGGAAACAGCACAGCAGCAAGATAAGCGCGTGCTTGAAATTTCAGGCGAGATCGAGAGGCAAGCGCGAATTTGTGGAGCGCGGTCAGTCTCTCTCCTAGACTTTCGGGCCCACGAGACTCGCGCGCGCGTATAGACGTACGGAGGTTGATCCCGAGGTTGAGCGAGAGAAAGAGAGATAGAGAAAGAAATGGAAAGCGTAAGGAGAAAGAACGGGGAGGACGAGACGCAGAGCAGAAAGAGGAGGAGGGAAGGTAGACGGCGAATCTCTAAAGGAATGCGTTAATCTTCCCTTTGCTGGTTTGTAGCTCGCGTGCCGTGCAGCCGCCGCCGCCGCGTAAATTTCCAGATCTTCTCTTTCCGACACGCACGCTCATACCCCGGCAGTCTCGGGCCCGAGTATATATACCTGTATATTGCGTGCGTGGCAGAAGAAGAGCAAAAAAGACAGGCGAATACAGGGTCCAACGCCAAAGAGTCTTTTAAGAGAGAGAGAGAGAGAGAGAGAGAGAGAGAGAGAGAGAGAGAGAGAGAGAGAGAGAGGCTGGAAGAATCGGCTTAAGGACAACGGCAGGATGGAAGAGATAGAGCACGAGCGACGAAGATGGAAGAGAGAGAGAGGGACGCGGAATAATACAAAAGAAGTCGGCGGCCACTAGCCGCTCCTCCGGCTTATACTCATCGCAAATGTATAGTTACGCGCGCGCACTGCGCGGCGGCGGCAGCGGCTCGCGCGTTTCTTTTTCTCTTCTTTTGCGCGTGCGTTCAACTTGCTTATATCTGTGCCACAAGGTCAACCCCTTCGCGAACGTATACGTACGTATACGCGCGCGCGCGTCGGACGGGTCTGTGGGAAAAACGCGATGGAATTTCATTTTTGATCTTCAAACGCCTAATTGCCAGCCTGGTATCACGTACGAACGTCATAGTTATCATCCGCTGACTTATTAGCGTGACCGTATGTCCTTAGCTCGCGCGCGCGGGTCTGCATTCTGAGCCGCCACGAGGCTTGGCCCAGCATTTCAAGTATTTTTCAAAATACTTTCGGATCGGTAGAGAGTATTCGTGATTCAAAGTCTTTTGTATGCAGATAATGGCCTCTTCGCAGAACAGTAGGTATACATAATAAATGCAGTTCTCTGAAAGAGGTAGCCAGCGGGGCAGACTTCCATATTTTATCAAGTCATCAAGCGAATCATGCGCTCAGCAGTAGATTCACTGCACCAATATACAAAGTTTTAACAAAAATCATTTGAACTGTCTCTATTGTCATCTCTCGGGAAATTCATTGTTACCAGACTTTTCGAATACACGTTCCTTCTGTCATACTAGCGAAACCATTCTTATAAATCTGCATATATAAGCACCTATGGGCCTTTATCATACGGTCGAGCAAACGCATAGCTTCGTCGTAACACGTAACGAATGAAAATGTTGGATGAACAAATCGAATGTTAAAATAATACAGCGTCTCGCTGTTTATGCAGCCGAGTCACTGGGCACGAGCTCGTATAAACATAAGATGCCTAGTTTTCGAATGGTCGTAGGGGAAAAGAGGGGAAAAAACTAATCCAACAAAGGACGGACACGAAGTATCCGTTGAGTCTTTATCGCGAGCAAATCGGCTCGAAAGTATGCACAGTAGTCGTCTGTCGGGCTTTAATGGGAGTCAAAGTAGCATTGCGGCGGATTACGGCAGCCAGGCATGAAAGCTTGAGAGCGAGCGTGAGAGACGCGAAGGAAGAGGAAACAGGAGTAGCGGCGGCGATTATCGGCAGCAAAAACCGACTGGCAGCAGAAGGGAAGCACGCGAGGCTGCACAAAGAAAACTCGGCTGCCATCGGCTCCCAGATCGCTGGTAATCTGCGCCACTGCTCCGCTGCGCACGCAGCTACTTGCGGTCGTGGCACAACTACGCCGAGAAACGATCTGCCACCGTTGTAGCACCTCTGCTTCCTTCTGTTTATCTCAGCCGAGTGACTATCGTATCCGCCTTCTCGGAGATATATCTACGATATGTGCACGGTTCACGCGCGCTGTGTACTTATGAACGCGGCGGGACGATTTAATTCATCTGCCGGTGGAGTGGCTCGTGAAAAAAATGAGCACTCAACGGGGCTAGGAGGTTTTATTGCACCAGCAGTCAGCCTCTCTCTCTCTCTCTCTCTCTCTCTCTCTCTCTCTCTCTCTCTCTCTCTTTCTTCGAATCCCAAGTGTCTTTAGCTACCTGTGCCGTTGGCGACTAATGGCCCTCTAATGGGCCACTCTCTTGGAAGACAGTGATAAGCCAGGTAGGTATATGGGTATTACTAGGGCTCGCCGAGAGAGAAAGATCTCAAGCGCTTTCCAACGTATATCGTAGGTACGTGTAAAACCGGCTGGGCGCGGCGAGCGAGAGCGCCCGTACGGCAGGAGGAGAAGGAGGAGGAGAGTACAGTGCCTCCGGCTGGCGGTCGCGCGGAGCCGAGAAGCAGTGCACCGACCTCGCTGGCTTGCCCGCCTCGCGCTCGCTCTCTCGCAAGCACCGGCAGCTAAACCGGACGCCGCAGCTCCTAGCCCCGCGCGCCTCTGTGTCCGTACGTGTGAGGGAGCACACACTGATCTCTCTCGCGCACCGACGAGCAGCAGCAGCAGCAGCAGCAACTACGCTTCGATCCAGGGCCGCGCGAGCGCCTAGCCTCCTCGGTCTATCGCAGCTCCGCTCTCTCGTCGCCCTGTCGAGCCAGGCGCAGTCTCGACCGCAGTCCAACTTGCTCAGTGAGAGCTTGCTCTCGGACAATCCATGATCGTCAGCGGACTGGCCGTTCGCTCTCGCAAAGTCATCGGCATCTCGGGAAACACGCGTTGCTCCAAATCGCCGCGGTAGCAGCAGGTAGCAGTGATTCTCTCGAGAGATCTTGGCCGCTACCAGTCGAAATAGCCAGGCTGGGGGTACCCGCTCGACGCTGAGCGCACCTGGGAAGCAGGCTCTCGTTCCGATCGTCGTCTCCTCTCTCTCTCTCTCACTCTCTTACTCTTAGGCACGAGCCGAAGTCCTGCTACGTAAGCCTGCATCCATCTGTCTCTTTCTCTACCTGGCGCGCGGAGCCAGCCAAAGAATATAAGAGGCAGTAAGAAGGAGAGAGAGAGAGAGAGAGAGAGAGAAACGCGCCGCCGCAGCATCCAGCAGCAGCGCTACCAGCGGCCGCCACACACTCGGGCGCTCGCACAACTATACGTAGCGACACACGGCGGCTTTACCTGCGTGCGCGTGGGTGTGCGTGAGCAGTCGCGCGCGCGACAGAGAGAGAGAGCTGACGCTGCCGCTGCCGCCGCCGCCGCCACCGCCACTGCCGTGCGCAAGCCAGTTAAGCGCGCAACGCTCGGCCGCGACGTTGCTCCTCGCTGCCTCTACTCATCATTCCAGCTCGTTGTTGTTGTTGTTATTGTTGTTGCTGTTGTTATCGTCGCTTTCGTTTCCCGAAGCAGAGCTTTGCCGTCGTAGGCTGCGCGAGCTCATCGTCCGCGCTGGTTCTTTCCTTGTTGTGTGCGCGACAATAGCCGGAGTGTATGGAGTATAGCAAGAGCGCCACAGGTGTGTTGGAGTGTGCGCGAGACAAGTATCTGCGCTTGTGTTCGGTACCTGCTACTGTGAGTGTGCGCGCGAGCGCGACGCTGCCGCCGTCGCCACCGCCACCACTGTGAGAGTGTGCAAGTGCTACCGTGCGGAGATAAGCCAGCAGGTATACTGGAAACTGCTGCGCGTTTTCTCTTGCCGAGCGGCCGACTTGCTTGGAGCTCCTCTTCGCCGCCGCTAAATGTGAGGCTTGGCAGCGCCGTTGCCCGTCGACGAGAGCACCCACGGGAATACGCAGCCGAATCGGCGATCGGAGAGCGCGCGTGGATCGACGAGCAGATCGTCGATCCGCAGAGTCGCCGACTGAGATGCTAACCCGAGCCGCAGCGAAGCATTAGCGTCGCCTTCACTGCAAGTTCATCGCCCAAGGACAGTGCGAGCACCAGGTGAGTTGGCCTCTCTCGAGATCAATAAAGCAATCGCGAGATAACGAAAACGTTGGAAGCTGCGTCGAGATATTTCCGATTTCAATATGGCCGACCGGGACCACAGCCATGACACGGACGGGGCCCGCGGAAGCCATGTTGGCAGGTGTGCTTGCCGAGAGTGAGCATGAGAGAGAGAGAGAGGGAGAGAGAGAGATAACGAGCGCGAGTTGCTGCTCTCTTGGCTGCGCGCTATAATGCCAAGCATTGTGTTATTGTGACTGTGGGATAAACGTGGAAGCTCAAACGTCAAGCGGCAATTTGTCGTCTCATTAGCTAACGTGCCACAACGTACGTCCCAACTCTCTATACATGGCAATACGAACGTCGCGCACAATTTCGCAATGCAAGGGGCGAACCGCTTTCGATAAAGGACGCAAGGCTTGTTGAAAGACGCGTCGTTTCGATTCTGCGTAGGATTTGCCAATTTTCATTAGCATTTGTTATACGTGGTGTGTACAATAGTGAAACACGTTGGCGCGGCTATATGCTTTTAACCGACTCGACGTGTGTATTTGTTTCGCAACTACGTATCGCGACAGCCTGCTCCCCTTTTTGTCAATCGATCGGAGATAGATAAGATTATTGTGCGAGAGTTCTCTAGCTGTGCGTTTTTGCCCGCTGGTGCATAATAACCCAGTGCAATGCGCGCTGAGAGTACCGATTACAATGCTCGCTTTTGATTCGGCTGTAATTAATTGGCCATTTTTTAGAATGCTCCATAGAATTTAGGCGCAGAATGCGTGTTATTATACCGCCTGGTTGCGAAAGCTAGTTTCCTTTATGATCGATCCACTTGATTAGAATCAAATAAACGGCTTCGCTTTCGGTCCGTTTACAAATTTAGTCAGTTGATTTTGCAATACCACTGTTTTCTATTGTTTATTGATAACATTATTCAATGAAGCTTATGTGATCACTGTTTCGATGAATTCTAAATCAGGTGCGCCGTAATTTCAAGCAAGTTTATACTCTTTAAATTAAGTTGACCCGCACAGCCTTCCTAGGCATCTAGCTTCATTAAAAATATAAAAAGATTGTGAAACAAAGAAACGAAAAATATCAAATTTGTCGACACATAAAAGCTTTATACTACTGATTTCAGTTTACATTTACGCTTAGATTACACTCTTACCGATCACTATTTTATTATCAATAAAAGAAATACGAACTTTCATGAAAAATTCTTTTCTTTGAGCGATTCCCATACAAAAATGTTGCCTATGTTCTTTTAAATAATATACATATACATGTCAAATGGCTGTCAAGTTAAAAGTAAATCAAATTAAAAATAAAATATTGTATACGAATTTTATTATAAATTATTCAACGTAAATACAAATTTGGTACACGAATAAATATTTGACAATAGAAAATGGGTAAAAAATATTTATATTATATAAACTGGAAAAATTAGTCACGTCAAACTATACAATTAGCTTACTTTCAAGGGATAGCATATAGGATTAAAGACAATATTTTATTCGATAAACAAGGACTTAACGTTTATTATTTTGTTGGCAGACGGCAAAATGCCAACAATGCCGACAGATCTCGTGGTGACGTCGGCTTCGGTCACGGAGGAGACTTCACGGACACTGAGCCAATCCATATCGCGTCCCGGTCCATCAACGTCAGCTTCGTCAGTAGGGCGAGATGGCGAAGGTCGCAGTAGCTCCTCGTCGCGTGGAAGCTACGAAAGCGCAAGTTCCTTAAGCTCGTACCATCATCATCACAGTTTGGTGACCGGTTTGGGCCATCCGCATCACCATCGCGAGTCATCGGCGTTCGTTCCGGTAGTACCATCGCGGCTCCATCTAGCGGCCTACCCCGGGGACATGCATGCTCACATGTCTGGTCCAGCGCCGCCACCAGGTTCTTCCTCGGCTAGTTCCTCTTCGGGCTCTGTCAATCAGGAACACGACAACAGCTCCGAAGGACCGCCAGTCAGAAAAAGCTCGTCGAGCTACGAGATCATGGCAATGATGGCCGATAAAAGAAAAGAACTCGCAGCAAGGGCGCTACTTCTGCCACCTCCACCGATGCTTGAGCCGCCACCAGGCTATCCAGTGTTTCCTGGACCTTTCCCAGCCGGTTCCAGCCTCTATCCACCCGGTGGACCATTAGGCCATCAACATTTGGATCGACGGCTAATGCGGGCACCGGGCCGTGCATCCAGGCCTAAGAAGCAGTTCATTTGTAAATTCTGTAACAGGCAGTTCACGAAAAGTTATAACCTTCTCATTCACGAGAGAACGCATACGGACGAACGACCTTATTCTTGTGATATTTGCGGAAAAGCTTTCCGTAGGCAGGATCATCTCCGAGATCATCGGTGAGTCTACATTGTGCCAACATTGTTCTTTTCTTGATTGATCGATACGTTGTTCAGTTGTAACAGTTCTATACAATATATATTTTTTCTAACGATAATATTGTTTGCATTTTTGTATTATTGACGCACGTAAAAGTACAATCATAAATATCAGTGCGCAAGGCTTGTTTATGAAATTCATTCGGCTTTCAATCGACATTACTTATAATCGATTGCCAATTCATTTCTACATCCGAAAACACTATCTTCAAAGGCTACTGATTAAACTATGTATGCGGTAAACTACCTCGAATTGAAATCTTTCGAAGAGTATACATCCGTTATCGAAAGCCAATCTAATTATTGATCGTTCTGTCAATCGCAGGTACATCCACAGCAAGGAAAAGCCATTCAAGTGCGGCGAGTGCGGCAAAGGCTTCTGCCAGAGTCGCACCCTGGCTGTGCACAAGATCCTGCACATGGAGGAGTCCCCACACAAGTGTCCGGTGTGCGCGCGCAGCTTCAATCAGCGCAGCAACCTGAAAACTCATTTGCTCACCCACACCGACCACAAGCCCTACGAGTGCAACTCGTGCGGCAAGGTCTTTCGACGGAATTGCGATCTCAGGAGGCATGCTCTTACTCACGCAGTCGGCGATGTGCCTCCCGAGGCCCTCGAGGAGGCGTTGCGCGACGACGACAGTCCCGAGGAAGACTGCGAGCCGGGAGCCTCGCCATCCGAGTCTGCTCCCAGTAATCCGTCGTCCTCGCAAGCAGCGGCACCGTCCTCCGGCAGCTCGGCGTCGAGCTCGAGTATGCCTGGGCCGTCCTCTGGCAGCAGTTATCCACCGACGGCACTGCCCAGCCGGCCGCACCTACAAATTCGGCGGGATCTGCTGCAAGTGAAGCCCAGCACAATTATGAGCACCGGCAATCCTCCGGGAGCTCTGCCACCTCCTCCCCCTCTAATGTTGTCCTCCTACAATCGACGAAGGATCGGCTCGCCAGGTCCCTCGCGCGTGCTGCTCGAGTTGCAAGAACGCGAGCGAGAACTCGAGCGAGAACGGGAGCGCGAGAGGGAGCGCGAGAGGGAGCGCGAAAGAGAACGAGAGAGGGAGCGCGAGCGAGAGAAGGAACGCGAGAGGGAGGAAGAGACCAGACTAGCCAGAGCACCAACGCCTCAACCACCCCCGCCATCGAGACCGCCGCCAGCCAGGCACGGATTCACCATTGCAGATATCATGCGAAGATAGGTAGATGCGTAAGCTTGCGACTGTCGGATTTTCACATTTTCTTTGTTTCGATTCAATTTTTATCGTTGATAATGCTCTCTGGATTTCTTAGAGGCATAATAACTTGAAGCCAGAGATTATCATTATCTCTACGTTTTATTGTCGTACTTTTGTACTTTTTACAAAGACTTCACTTTCGCATGTGAATAGCGCTAACAGCCCAGTGATGCAGCTGCATATAGTTGTCAAAAAATTATTTGCCTAATTCTAAGATGGAGTCTGCACTCTAAGAAATTACGAAAGTATTTATTGTTTTCCATTATGAAAATTCTATGAAATATAAATTTGTATGAAAAACTTCAAAATTCAGTTGTAATTGGTATTTTAAAATTTCGAGTGGCTCGGATTTATTGTTGTACGTCAAGAACTAATTATCTTTACATGTAAAGTTCCAAGAACCTAGTTTAAAGATCTACAAGAATTATAAAGACTCTAAATAGTTGTTAAGTAAGATTACAGCGAGGATAAATATAGAGGAAACGAATAAAAGTGGCGTCTACCTTGGTGAAGGCGTAATTAAACATATATAAAAGCAATCGGTGCAATTGTATGAATCTTGATGAGTGATATTATATAATTGACACAAAAATACGAAAGATAGAAAAAGAGGGAAACAGCAAATGAAAATACATCTTAAATGAAAATGATAATTAAATTAAAAGTATTTATGTATTTTTCTAGAAGTAAGCTTATTACAATTATTTTAACTAAAACGTATTGATGCAGATTTTATCAACGACTTGTATATACAGCGTAATTCATATTTTGTTAATTAAGTCTAAGAAATGAAGTGAAAGTTTATGAACGAGGTGGCAAAATATCAATACTAGAGTATGAATATCAATTCACTATTTTTATAACGAATACTTCCTACGTCTTAAATGGCATATATTTTGAAAGTTATAAGTTGCTAATTACAACATCTGTCTTTCTAAAATCTTAAATGAAAGGTATATAGCAAAGATCTTTTGCGCTCGAACTTGAGCAGCTCCGTTTAAAAAATATTTTTGTAATTTTCTGCCCTCAAAAATGTTTTGCAGACGAATATCAAAATCACAATTTTTTTTTCTTACGAATTAAGTGATGTTAAACTCTATTTTAGAACACAAAATTGAAATCTGCTCCAATTCAAATATTAAGTTATATGTTGACGATAACCTTGCCAACTACTACATATACAAGTAATATATTAAAATATTTCAATATGTTTGTTTACAATGAATGAAAATCAAACAGTATATTTGGATTCTCGAACACGAAGCACTTCGTATTGGCAAACAAGAAAAATGTCTTTCCCTTATTTTAATTGGATAATTATATTCCATCCGCAGTCCATGATAATTTTTGATAAAGTTTTATTTAGTGAACGAATTTTATCTGCATACAAGTAAAAGATTAAGTGTTCCATATAATAGATGGAACATGAATTTTTATCGTTAAATTAATTAAAAAATTTTAGATCTAAAGCTATAATGATATTACAACTAAATAAAAATGATTCTAACTTTTATTAAAGAACTATTGATATAGTTCTTTTATAAACACCATGAGCGATATCCTTCTGTAGCAATTAAACCAATGTTGTCAGTCGGTTTTTTAAGTCGGCACATTTCAAACAAAAGAAATGCAAATGACGGTCTTTAAAACCACTTGTACACAGTTTACATCTTTTGCTAGCAATTCTAATCAAAGCTATAGAAAAAAAAAATTTCAAAAAAATTGCATTTTCCAAATGCAATCAATTCAAACGATGGACATGCACTTATTAAATTGACGGTAATTCTAGACCTGTATAATTAATTTGAGAGCAACTTTCTATATACCTTGCGTTTAGTAAACAGATGTTGGAATCGAATGAAAAATGTAATGCTCTTCGATTTATGGAATTTTTTGTTTGTAATAAATAGTATACAATATTTTAGACAATCGAGAGTTAAGAGTTCGTAATAAAATTAATAATAGTTATTAAGAACATGCCATTTGAAAAAATCAAATGTGTATACAGTTTATTGTGATATATAAAATCTTCGTTTTATATTTAATAAATTTCAGAGATCTTCCAGAATTTAAAAAAAAATATTTTTCAACATGAAATTATACGTTGAATACTTTGTACTATATGTTTAGATAATTTTAATGTTAATTTAATAATGTACTGTGGAATCTTTTTAGATTTCATTGTATGTTATTATATATTTAGTATGCAATACTATGAGGGTACAAAAATTTTACTGAAATATAATTATGAGAAATAATCATTCTCTTTACACTCTTCGAACTCGTATCTAGCAACGTTGCAGAATTAATCCGTACTATATAAATATACATTGTAAACTGTTAGTGCCTGAGATTTGAGCACGAATTGTTGTAAGTGCAACGTAAAAATATGCGCGTTCGTCGCATATTACAAGGATTATAAGCCTAATCATGTAAGTTGTGTATTATTATATACTTAAAGTGCCTTTGATATAAGAAAATTTGTAAATTGTATTTTTAGATTGGAATATCTAAAAAATAAACTTTTCTTAATATATAATAACTTTTTTTAATCTTTTTGGTTCCTTAGTTATAATTTTGAACAACTTTGAGTAGTTAAGTCTAACCCTGTTAATATTGTACTTATACAAATTTCTGAAAAAGATAATTGTCCTTCCATTGTTATGCTACGTGGAAACATTTTTAAAATAGAAATCAAACTAACAATACTCTTAAATATGACTGCAGACTTTATGAATTAATGGAAGAACCATATGTCTATTGAAAAGCTTTTAAAATATAAACTTTTATAAAAGTTATATTTTTGGTATTGTCGGAATTGAATTTTTCATGTTAATCAATACATTAAAAACTTGAATTATTTGAAACTAGTTTATACCTGATAACACGTTTTTTTTACGGTAGACGCATAACTGGTGTGATATGCTTATAAATCTTTAAAATTATTTTCTGCAAAAAATGACTTTTTTTTTAAAGTCTTACTTCACTCTAAATATGATTTCTAATTATTTAATAAGGTTTTAATATAAATGAAATGTCTTTTATGATAATTCTACAATAATATATATCCATCATTACTATAAAAGACCAAAACAGGAGTATGTAGCATTGTGTAAATTCAATTAGCACTTACGTAAGGGGTATCCATGACTTATATAGTTCATGTTTGTACTATATTTAGAGGTTTCGCCTAGATTCAAGTCCTAATCACACGGTGCAAGACTTACCTGCCTTAAGGTAGTTTGATTTGTATTAAAATTAAATTTTTTCAATTTAAACCTTCGATCCGATAGACATTCACGTTGTAATTTATACTTATTTGGTAAAGTTGAATACTAATTATCAAGTATGATTTTGCAGATTAATATTAAAACTATTCAATATAGCGTGCTTTGTTGCTCAAATACACAATGTTTTGAATAGCAATGCAATGAAGACATGTAACCTAGGTGGATCGATAACGTGTTTCAGCTATTTTTAAATTAGAAGATTTCTACAGTAGCATTATGTAAATCAAATATACGCGAACGATATTAACGAGTTTCAAACCTATACTTGTTTGAGTAGTAAAAGATACAAAACTATTGCAAGGTTTTATGAACATTAGTCGATTAACAAACGAGCAACGGGATATGTGTTCTAACCAGGAGTTTCCATATGTAAAAAACTTGCAGTCACGTAGTCCAGATCCTCATGGGAAGTGGGGCGTGATACGTACATGATGAAAGGTAAAATACCGTCACAGGTAATGAAGTCAACGGCAGGTACATCAGGTATAAGTTAATATGAAAGTTCACAAAAATCGCAATCACTATATAAAACAAACAAATAGGAAAAGAAAATACCCTTATCAAATTATACTTTGACATGTATCAAGAAAAAGACGAAATGAAAAAAAAATTCACTTACTATCACAGAATAAACCGCGCAGTACCTGTGTTCGGAATGAATTGTTTCTCGAGAGCATTACAGTTCAAAACCATTTTCCTGACCATGTACCGCTTCTTGGTCAACCGACGTAGAGTCGATCTCCCGGTGACACTGCGAGATGGCTATAGAGAACCGCCTGCTACTGCGTAATAGTCTTGTCGCCTGAGTGAACTTCATCAGCTTATGCTATCCGGAGCGACTCGTCCACGGACGAGCGTGACCCGTGAGTACAGTCGGGATAACCCAAAATTTTCTAAACATGGATATGAGAGGTGGAACCAAGATTTTCGCTGGAATCTCTTAAAAATATCAAGATAATCCGTTAACATCAATATTTTTTAGGCTGTGGAATTTGCGTAGTAACAGTTTACTTGAAAGTGACGAATCCTACCATGAATAGAAAAAAAAGTTGTTGGTCGTCAAATTTGCCATAAAATCCTGTGGTTTAAAATTAAAAAAATTCCCATTTCCCGTAACTACGTCGCACGAATAAGTAAAAAATGAAAGAAATACTAATTTAATATATGAAGCTATCTCAACGATGAGTTTTCTCGAAAAAGTTTAATTCGTCACGAATCAAATGCAACGAACCTCATTTCGATATCTTTTTTAGTTGCTGAATAATGTCAATGGTTAAGTAACATATAAATTAGATATACAGCTTTACAATACTGTGGCATTATAGACTGAAAATGTTTTACAATCCGAATTAGACAAAGAAAAATTATGGAATTAGAACAGACGCAACTGTAGACGCGACACAAAGCAGAGTACACCCAAAACTTATACGTCCATAGCAAATTAAGAAATCAGCGGAATCAGTATCTAGATCAGTAGCCTACGCACAATTCCCAGCACGAAAAATCTCAGACGTGGTAACTATATTTAAAAACTTCAAATTGATTTATCGAGTGGAATTGCCATTAATCGATTGTGCAAATTATTATCAATAATTTGTAGCAATTTCTTTAGCATTGCTAAACAAATACTACGCCTAATCTTGCATACATCTTGCTGAGCCATGAATTTTTTGCTAGCAAGTAAAGTGTAAAAAACATATATACCAATAATCTATAGAAAATCAAACGAATATAAACAATTGGATAATATACGTATGGATAAACCCACGGAACTTTTAACTTTTGTGAAATAGCCATAACACTGCAATTATTGTAGCTATGTGAAATTGTAAGCAAATACTTATATGCCATTTCGATAGAGCATCCTATTACTAACATTTATACAAAAAATTGAGTGCCCAAGTCTTTTTTATTTAAAAAAATAGGCCGTTAAAACCTTGAACACTGGAAATTTTTCAATGAAATAACCTAAATTTTTTTCAATCTTTCGCATGCCCTACTCGCGGTCCTTCAAGGATCATATTGATTAAACTTTAGATAGATAACTGACCATAATGGGAAATCGTGGCATGAGTCATGTCGATGTGCGAATCCCCATAACAATCCTACACCATGCCAATGACGTGAAATAACTTTATGTGAAATCGATGTTTTATCAATATTTTGTTCTTTTATGATCGCGGCCCTCAATATAACCAACTATTTGAACGTATTACTTATTCCTGATACCAAAACGAAGAGATCTAGCCGTGACACGAATATGTGCGCATGATATACGCGTGACAAGATGAGTTTTAAGTAGATAAGAAAATTCGTGTAACAATAAAAAATTCCATAATATCGTATAGCACATCTTTAAAAATATTTTAATATGATTTCTGTTGCCTGTGATTCCATTAATCCATTAATTATGATCATAAAATACGAGGGCCGCAAGAACCCCTGTTATTATACCGTTGCTATCAAATAAAATGGATATATATTAATAAAACGACGATAAAGTCAAAGTTATACATTCCCAAAGAAAACAAAAATTGGATGTGCAGAAAAGTAGTATAAATTGAATACTTGCAGTTCAAATTACAAGCAAATGAACGTGAATTTAGGAATACGTGTATGTAATTGTTGTAAAGGTCCACTTTTATTTTTTTAGTTCCTGTATCATCAAAAATACTTCTTTTTCTCGTACACATTTAATAAGCGTTTATGTTGACGACTTTATGTTCGCCAAATAGTTGTAGGACATTCTCATCATTTTCTGTTTACAAATTCTCGACAAATGAAAGATACAGGCGTTGGGTAGGTATACTTCGTGTTTATACATTTTCTTCAGTTCACATCGTGCTTCTAAATGAATCAGTTCGTAAATCGAGTCTCAATGAAAATAAGGTATTATTGTATTTGTCAGTTTAGAGTGTTTTATATAACATTAACAGTTTCAATAATTAAGTATGTTTTTTTTACGCGATTTTCTTTACGCGACATATTATATTTTTTAAATAATTTTGTTTGCGATTCTTCTTGTTATGTATAATTATTGTTATTGTTATATATAGTTGTGCTTATTTGCGTTATTTATTATTGTCACTGAGTTTATTTACGTTATTTATCAATGAGAGATTATAAAGAATGATTTAATTTAATAAAATTTAATTTTTGTTCGAATTACTTATATTTGACCTTCTGACCTTGACGGCCTTCGGTAAAAATGTTGCACAAACGTGGAATATTACTCCTCGATGGTAGATAAACATATGTGCAAAATAACAAGAGTGTGCGATTAAATTTTTTTCCAAATTTTCTTGATATCTAAAGTTAAGAATTCCGTGGATTTGCCCGTATACGTACATAATCACCAAACAGATAATTTGCGAAATCCAACTGAATATTTTCAACGACTTCAGGAAACTAGATCAATGCAAAATTAAAGTGGTACAATTCAAAGAAACAATTGTTTATTACAACTTGAAGAACCTCATATTTCCAGTTGACACTCGCAGAATCTAAAATTCTGACAATACAATCTAATTGCACAGCCCACATGAATTAATATTCGACTTACTACCATGTGAAAAGTGACCGGTAAGTCAATAGAAATGGTGTTTAATGCAACTACTCTAGACATAATAAAACGAACAAAAAAGGACAAAGATACATTTGAATGCCTCGTACACACTTTTGGACGGAGTGAAAATAATAAAAGTCGTGACCGAACGGGAATGATTTAAAAACGCATTCATTTAATTATGAACAAAGTTTCCACAAAATTATTAGCAAAGTGCAATAACTCGGCGAATATAAAGTCGTAACCTATAAAGTCGAGTCAATTAAATCAACATGTACGTACACAGCCATCGCAATCATCATGATAGTAATAATAATGGTAATCATGGCGTTTTCGAGGCCTGTAGTATTGATCAGTCAAAGAATAATTACAGGTACGAACAAACAACACAATTCAATTCAAGGCGAAAATAGATACCGACATTGATCGAAGTCCAATCTCAAAACCTTCCAATACGCTCCGTTTATACAATCAATTTGAAACAATTAGCAATCACCAATAATATCTCAGTACAATCCGTCATCAAATAAGCCGAAATAATTCAATCTATCAACTCGTTGGATGCAATTTCACACAAGTTTTTTAGGCAACATACACACAATAATCACATC